CCCAACACCTGACAGGGTTCTAGTCACCCATTCCCTCTTCTTGGATACTCCATTCCACACACCCATGCTTTCCCATTTTTCTTTTCCAACTGATACTCAACGTTTCATAACATTTTCTCCTTCTTATTTTTTTTTATTGGAGGGTTATTTTATAAGGTTTCCTTTCAAGCTTTCATCCCCTATAGTGATTATTTTTAAATTGTGCTTCTGCAAATCCTGGGCCTCCTTGGCATTTAGGGAATGGTTGCAGCTCAGTGGCAGAGCATCTGCTTTGCATGCAGAAGGCCCCAGTTTCTGTCCCTGGCATCTCCACATAGGGCTGGAATCGCCTCCTGCCTGAATCACTGGAGAGCCACTGCAGTCAGTGTTGACAGTACAGTAATGCCTCCGCGAACGTCTGCCTTGTCTAGCGTCCCCTCCAGCGAATATCCGCAGCAAACCCAGAAGTACCGGAATGAGTTACTTCCAGGTTTGCCACATGCGCAGAAGCACTACATCGCGCTTCACACATTCACAGAAGCGCAAACCACTCCACGTGCGTGAGCAGACGCAGCACTTTGCCCTGCATCCTTTTCGGCTAGCAGCTGGGGCTCTGAAACGGATCCCGGCTGCAGAATGAGGTATGACTGTACTGAATCAGAAGGACCCAATGGTTTAGTTCAGAATAAGGCACTTTCTTGTGTTACTCTGTGCATGGTGGTACCTCTCTCACAGTGGCACTCACTGCCTGAGTTTGCTGTTAGAGGGCAGGGCATGACGACTTAGTTGTCTGTTTTCTCCCACAAAACGTACTTCAAGTTTGACACCTTGGATCATACCTGGGGCCTGTCTAGCTGCCTGACGACCTGCCTTTCTGTCTGGGTCTACTTCTCTGTTCCCCACTCTCTCCCCCTTGGAATATTTGCTTGGCAATAGGCAGCAAAGTATTTACTTGGCAACACTTTCTGGCTTGGAATCTATGGGCATGCTCAGGAATGATGTGGCCTACTCTGAAAATGAGGGACATTTGGACGCTACACTCTACAAACCTGCCTTCCAGAATCCATTTTATATTGGGCCCAAGTCCCTCCAGAGTCTAGGCCAACCTGAAATGGATTTGTTTTGGCCTGTGCTTCCCTTGAGCCCCCTCGCTTGCTGCTTATTAAAAGCTTAAATTTTCAAAAGAAACCCAAGGCAACTAACAAATCCAAATGTCACACAATACAGTGGTACCTCTGGTTGCGAACGGGATCCATTCCGGAGCCCCGTTTGCAACATGAGCAGAATGCAACCTGCGTCTGCGCATGCACGGGTCGCGATTTGTCGCTTCTGCGCATACGCATGACACCATTTTGAGTTTCTGCACATGTGCGAACAGCGAAACCCAGAAGTAACCCTTTCTGGTGCTTCTGGGTCGCAGCAGGACGCAACCTGAAAAGATTTAACCTGAAGCAAATGTAACAAGAGGTATGACTGTATTAGAATATATTGCGGTCCACCTCTCTAGCCCCAGCTGGAAGATCAGAAAATGGACATTAAAGAAAATAACTACCTGCATCAGAAATCAGTGGAAAAAAGAAAGTCAGCCAAACTATTTTTTTTTAAGCCACCTAACAATGTAGTGACGGGTCTTAGAGACACCTCCCTTGGCCAGGCATTTTGCAGGATGGGGCCACCACAAGAAAAAGCCCTGGCGCCAGTTACCACCAGCCATGTTTCACAGAGGGATCTTGGCTTTTAATGATAGCCCTCTCCTCCATGCATTTGTCTAAGCCTCTTTTAATGCCACCCCACTTTGTAGCCATCACTGCTTCCTGTGGGAGTGGATTTCGTAGGTTAACTATGCTCTGTGTGAAGAAGGGAAGAAGGACAATCTTTGATCTCTCCCGAATCTTCCAACATTCAGCTTCATCGGGTGTCCACAAGTTCTAGCGTTAATGAGAGGGGGAGAAAAACTTTTTCGCTGTGCGATTTCTCCATGTCATGCATAAGTTTATACATTGTATCCAGTGCTCCCCCCCCCCTGAAAAATACGGTAGGTGCTGTTTCTCACTATGAAGTTATTACAGTAAGTGACACACTTTTTAACAACAGCAAAAAGAGATGTTGGTACTGTGCACTCTTGAGTACCCCCTGGAAAATAAAACCACTGCTTGTATCATGTTACATCTTAATCACCTTTTCTATAAACCTCATAATGCAGCCACACTGTCCCCTTGATGCTGTCCTTTTCAGAACCTTTTCCAGCTGTACAATATCCTTTTTGATGCAAGGTGACCAGTACTCTACACAGTATTCCAAATGTGGTTGCACCATAGATTTGTATAATGGCATTATGATAGTGGCAGTTTTATTTTCAATTTCTTTCCTAATGAATCATAGAATCATAGAACTGTAGAGTTGGAAGGAACCCCAGGTGTCATCTAGTCCAGCCCCATGCTGTGCAGGAATCACAGCTAAAGGATCTCTGACAGATGACCATCCAACCTTAGGGGAAACAATTTTTTTGGGGAGGGGGGTGGGTAACAGAGGCAGGGTTCCACTCTTGAAACACATCTTAAGTACATTTAAATGTTTCTGGATTTCTATTAACAAACCTTCCTGGAAATGGGACAGGACTGAATTACTCCCATCCCTTCTGAAAACAGTACTGTTTTTGAAAACCAGTTTAAGCCATTTTTATGGTAAGTTTGTGTATTGCTTTGAGATATATGTAAAAGGTAATTGTAAAGGGACCCCTGAGCATTAGGTCCAGTCGTGGCCGACTCTGGGGTTGTGGCGCTCATCTCACTTTATTGGCCGAGGGAGCCGGCGTACAGCTTCCGGGTCATGTGGCCAGCATGACTAAGCTGCTTCTGGCGAACCAGAGCAGCGCACGGAAATGCCGTTTACCTTCCCGCCGGAGCAGTACCTATTTATCTACTTGCACTGCTAGGTTGGCAGGAGCAGGGACTGAGCAACGGGAGATCACTCCCTCACGGGGATTCAAACCACCGACCTTTTGATCAGCAAGCCCTAAAAGGTGATAAATGAAAGAATCTGGCGTACTGGTTAGAATGCTGGACTAGGACCTGGGAGGCTTGGGTTCAAATCCACCCCTCCTCCCAGTATGAAGATCACTAGGTGACCTTGGGCCAATTACTCTCGGCCTAACCTACCTCACAAGGTTGTTGTGAGGATAAAATGGGGAGGAAGTAGAGCTGCATGCACCACCACGAGCTCTTTAGAGGAAAGTTTGGATAGAAATGTAATAATAAATACTTATAATGTGGTTTTAGTGGGTCTATCCATTCCTATTGGAGAGGTGTAGATGCATCTATTGACCTTTCCCTGTCTACCTGCCACAGTCCTGTCCCCATCACCTGATTTATAGCAGGTAATGCAGGTCACTGGCACAAGAAAGACATCTCCCTCTTAACCAGGCAAATTCAGTATGCAGGCATTTGCTCCTTCCTAGCTGTCAGATCCCTTTCCTCTTCTCAACGGAAAATCAAAGCTGAGTGATGGAGCCACCATCTGAAGCACTGAACCAGAAGGGAGGGCATTCATTTTAAGAGAGTGAGAATGAGAGAAAGAAATGCTTGCTGAATGCCAAGTTGGGTATTTAACGCTCAAGAGGCAATGCTGCCTTGTACCCTGAGCCGAGGGCCAGGGGTTAAAGGAAAGGGGAGGTGGGAGACAGGTAAACACGGGGCCAGGAAGTGCTGGTTGCCATTAACAGAGTGCCGTGGGGTCGCTTGGAACACTTTGGAGCTGCTTGGGTGCAAACCCTCCAGGCTAAATGGAAGTGACAGTTTTGACAGGGACAAGGAAGACCATAATTAACACCCCCCCCTACCTGCACACATACAATGGATGCATGTATACATGTTTGGATCATAGGCTCAGGACAGGAGCTGCAAGAATGACAGTTGAGAGTAGTTGTCAACTGGCCTCTGCAAAATAGGGGCTAATGATTTTAGGGTGGGTATTTGGAAAGCAGTTTCCTCCAGAATGTGTGGTGTAGCAATTGCACTACCCTGTGAGTAGGATCTGGCCACACTGGATGCAACATGGGAAATATGTGAGCAGGGATCCTTCTGCCTCTTCTGCATTGTAGCCTCCAGCTAAAAATATAAGTAAAGGTAAAGGACCCCTGACTGTTAGGTCCAGTCGTGGACGAGTCTGGGGTTGCATGGCACTCATCTTGCTCTAAAGGCTGAGGGAGCCAGCATACAGCTTCCAGGTCATGTGGCCAGCATGACTAAGCCGCTTCTGGCGAACCAGAGCAGTGCACGGAAATGCCGTTTACCTTCCCACCAGAGCGGTACCTATTGATCTACTTGCATTTTGACGTGCTTTCGAACTGCTAGGTGGCAGGAGCTGGGACCGAGCAACAGGAGCTCACCCCGTCGCAGGGATTCGAACCGCCAACCTTCTGATCGGCAAGTCCTAGGCTCTGTGGTTTAACCCACAGCACCACCCACGGCCGCTGAATCAGGCCAAAGGCCTATCTACTCCAACATCCTGTTCTTGCAGTGGCCAGCCAGATGCCTCTGGGAAACTCTTAAGCAGAACCTGAGTGCAACAGTGCTCTCCCCGCTTGCAATTCCCGCAATTGGCAATCAGAGGCATACCGCCTTTGAGAGTGGAGGAAGAACCATAGAACCATGCTGGCTCCATTTCCACAGAGTTAGACCCATGAGACTAAGTGCATGGCAGCTGGTGCATGCCAGCCATGTGTCTGAGCCCTGGGGGGGGGGGTAGCGACGGAGGCTTTCCATGCATTCTCTGTGTTTGGGCTGGGATATCAAGCAGTCCTTGAAGTATCCTAGACTCAAGCCATTGTGGACTTTATAAATTTATGCAAGAACCTTGAACTTTGCTCAGTAATATATGGCCATCTAATGCAAGCTTTTAAGCACTAGGCTGATGTGCTGCTGATAGCCTCTCCCCATCCAGAGCCTAGCTGTTGGAATAGTCCCCTGGAAACTCAAAGATGGGCAAGAGTTGTATTGTTTTGTCCATTTCCTTCCCTGCAGTGAGTTTGCCAAAGAACGAGAGAGAGTTGAGAACAGGAGGGCCTTCCTGAAGCTCCGGAGACAGCAGCAGATTGAAAGAGAACTCAATGGCTATTTGGAGTGGATCTTTAAGGCAGGTAAGGAATCAAGGGTCTCTGGCTGTTTTGTGTTGGGAGGTGGGAAAATAAATAAAAGTAACCCTCCCCATCTCTGCTGTGGGTCCTTTCCCCTAAAAATCCCCTGAAGTGCAGCTTATAAAGGAAACTGACAAACCACATCATAAAATGAACAAAGTCACATTTATCAGTGAATTAGATGATGTGCACTAATTCAGAACTCGATCTGACCCAGCGAGTCCAAATTAATACAAATTTAAAAGTTGACTTCAGCTCCCCCATCGATGTCCCCTCTATTTTCCTCCCTCCTTTGTTGCTCCCAATAAAACAACTTTTCCAGCTTTCATCCCTTCTCCCTATTAATAAATAAACATAATCCATATCTCTTCTTCTCTGTCTGAAAGTCTCAGAAGCCATCAATATGTTACACACTGTGGTCCATCCTGTCCCTTTCACTGTTCTTATTTCCAGCTTCACGCTTCAAAGGGGGGTAGGGTGATGTAATCTCAACAAAATCTATATCTCCTCTCCATCCTCCCCCCTAAACTAATAAATCTCCCTGCAGTCCATCCTGCCAATGCTCAGTTCCATTACCTCCAACTCCACAGTTTACTCTCTTCAGAGTGTGTGACAGACAGTCCACACAGTTGTTACATATCTTTTTTCCCCTTTACTATTTTTATTTCACAATACAAAGTTCCAAGCGTGGTCAAAATCCCACAAAAGTCCCTCAAGGTTGTTACTGTCTGTCACCTTTCAGGCAAAGTCCTTGGTTATAAAATAAATCCATCGCAAAGATGTATCTTTAAAGTCCACTCTTCCTGAAGACTTTACATTCCATTGCTTTATGGGAGGGTAGATAACACAGATCCCAGGGAAAAAACATGACTTAAAATATTGCCTACCCCTTGTCTTTCACCGTTCAAGCAAAGCAGAAATTAGTGTCTTTCATTCTTTCCAAACAGATGATTTTCTCCTGCAACACAAATCAGGATCTTTTTTTTGGGGGGGGGGTGTGCCTCGTTCCACAGCTCACTACGGTAGCTTGCTGAGGCTGTCCTTGGATGGAGCCATTGAGTCCAGCACCCTCATCTTCTTGCATGGGAGACAGGGCTTTCCGCCCCCACTCACAAACAAAAAAAGGCATGGTTGGTTGGTATTGCTGGTTTTCCAGCTGCCTCATGACTATCATGGAAATCTCAATTTATTTCTGGTGTCATGCAGCCACTGGGTTGGATAATATCTCTTGTCACATGATGAGGCAGGAGCAGAGGTTTCTGGGAAGTGGGCTGGCCTTGTTGAGAGCAGTCAGCCTTTTATTTGCTCCACACAACTCACAGCAACTCTTCCCAGTTGATCTTGCCCCAATGAGGCAGTTGTGAGAACTGAAGGTCCACACCTCCCACTCTCTCCTTCCCCAGAAGCCTAAGACTCTGTCATGTTGTCTCTTGTTCTTCCGCCCTCTTCATTTCTCTGCATGTTCTGGGAGACCAGGGGGGAGGTGAGCTGGTCACAGCAGGAGGAGGAGACTCCCTGGATTCTTCAGCAGCCTGCCTCATCTCTGTTTCCTGGTCCCTCTCCTCCCTGCCTCTGAGTCTGGACCATTCTCTGCCTCATCCTCTTTGTGCTCACTAAACCTTGTTGCTTCTTCAGCTTCTGACATCTCCTCCCAGTCTGCTCCTTTTCTCCCTCTGACCACACATTGCCATCCCACCACCAATCCCCTGGGTTCCCTTGGGGATTCCCCAGCTGCTGCCTTCTTCCACTCCCCTGCATCCAGCCCATCCATGACACCACACTTGCGTGAAGCCAACATCTCCTCCACCCTTTCCATGTCTCTTCTGGTTCTGGGTGACAAAGGTTCTGGATGGCTCGTCACCACAGGAGGGGGAAGACACCTGTGACTCTCCACCAGTCTGATTCATCTCTGCCTCTTGGTCCCCCTCATCCCATCCTCCTGCTTCTGATTCTGGACACTCTGCCACTGACTCTCCCAGCTCACTAAGCCCTGTTACCTCTTCAACTTCTGATACCTCCTCCTCCTAGTCTTCTCCTTCTTCTCCCTCTGACCACTCATCTTTCCCCACTACCACTCCCTGAGCTCTGAGCCTTCTTCCCTTGGGTTTTCTTCAGCTGGTTCCTCCCACCATCCCCCTGTTTCCAACCAGTCCATGACATCCACACTTCTTCTTCCCAGGACATGCCCCTCACCACCCCTACTTGAGTGTTTCTGTTTAGCTAGAATGAGGCCTTGGATACTGATAATGCTTCTTGCCTGTCGGGATGGAGGAGAGAAAGAGGTAAATTAACATTTGTCACTCCACCCCCCCCTGTTTTGCTTCTAACTCCACCCAATACTACTACGTGGCTCCCAGTAGGCTTCCCATAATAGTATAAGGCCCACAGGCTGAATAAGATCACCCAACCCTGCTGTACAGCCCAATTAGTTCTGCCCTTTCTTTCCATTGTTGTGTCTGTATATTTGTATATAAGGGACTGTCTGGCTCCATTCAGATCAAAAGCAGGTGGAGGGGTGCATATGGAATGGTTGGGCTATTGGAGCAAATGTCAGTTTATATCTTAAGTGGTCCTTGGAAATGGGCAGCTTAGGACAGCCTTCCTGATTGCTGTTGCTCAATGAGAACTGCTTATAATTAGCAAACCTCAGTTTATCTCTGCATGACAACTCTACAGTTTCCCGGCATTCAGGAAAAAGAGCCATTCATTTTATATTCACCATTCATAAAATGTACCTTTGGTTTGTTGATAGCTCTGGCTCTGTTTCCAGCTCAGAGTAATAGCCACTACCGCAAGTGCTTTATAATTTATATGGCAGTGTTTGAGGGGTTTCTGTTTGGGATGGGGTTTTTTGATGTGTTTTTTATTGCAATGTAATTTTTAGTCTTGATTGGGTTGGGTTTGTCCTTAGATCAGCCAGGCTGCAAGGTGGGTTACTGGCAGTTACAGGCATACTGCCTCTGACAATGAAAGCAGAACATAGACACTGTCGCTAAAATGCACACACTAGTCTCAACTAGGGGCAGGGCCTTTTCAGTACTGGCCCTGACTTGGTGGAACGCTCTGTCACAAGAGACTAGGGCCCTGCGGGACTTGACATCTTTCCGCAGAGCCTGCAAGACAGAGCTGTTCCGCCTGGCTTTGGTTTGGACTCAGTCTGACCCTTATGTTTCCCTCCCCTTATGGTTTTGATCTATGGGCTACTATTAAAATGAGGCTGCATTTTAAATTGTATTTTAACCTGTATTTTAAATTGGTCCGCCCCCCCATTATGTTTTTATTGTAATTTTACTGGTGTTAGCAGCCCTGAGCCCAGCTCTGCCCGGGGAGGGTGGGGTATAAATAAAAATTTATTTATTATTTATTATTACAGCTTGCCTCGCTAGGTCAGTCAGGAAATTTTATTGTATTTTACTGGGTGGGGGAGGATTGCCCTGAAGCCCATCTAAAGAGGGAGCCACATCAGTGTTAACAGTGAGGGGAACTGCTAATACTGACACTGTGCACAGTGAAAAAGAAAATGGGGTCAGCTCCCTATGGCATCATCAACATTTTACCCACACATGCATTCACGGGGGCCTTCCCTGCTGCAAACGTGCCACCTCCCTGCTTGAAATTAGACTTAAAAAGAAACATTCCTTTGTAGCCAGCGAAACTGCTTGAGGTCATTGTATGGTGCTCATGGTTTGCAAAAATGTTCACAGGCCCCAAAGAGTTGATGACTCCGGAGTACCAGGGTGCCGTGGGGGCAGGGCATGACACTGGAGTTAAGTGGGGTCTTGATGCACTGCCTCCTCAGTGGGAAGCCCAGCTGGCCAAGGTGGCCAATGTCATGCTGTTTTGAGGGGCACATCCATGGCATCCTGTACACCCAGCACTGCTTTGCGAGTCTTGCAAAAGCGGTGTGGAGTTGGCAATGAGCATGCCTCTTACGTTCTTCTCAAGCCATCACCCAACTAGAGGGCGGCCATGCAACAGGGCATGGGCACCCTGCCCTGTTTGGTCCTCCTCACCTGTCTTCCAGCTGGAGGACACTGTGAGAAGGATGCAATAACTCACAATGCCCTGCAAGCCCAACACTCACAAAAGTGGTGCAGGGCTGGCAGGGCACATGCCAGCTAGGGGGCAGTGTGAAAAGGACGCAACAGCTTATGGCGCCCTGCCAGTTTATTACTCTTAGTGTAAAGGTAAAGGGACCCCTGACCATTAGGTCCAGTTGCGATTGATTCTGGGGATGCGGCACTCATCTTGCTTTACTGGCCGAGGGAGCCGGCATGACTAAGCCACTTCTGGCGAACCAGAGAAGCACACAGAAATGCTGTTTACCTTCCCGTCGGAGTGGTACCTATTTATCTACTTGTACTTCGTGCTTTTGAACTGCTAGGTTGGCAGGAGCAGGGACCAAGCAACGGGAGCTCACCCTATCGCGGGGATTCAAACCGTCAACCACCTGATTGGCATGCCCTAGGCTCTGTGGTTTAACCCGCAGCACCACCCGCATCCCTTACTCTTAGTGTATAAAGTCCTAAACCAACCAGGATCAGGTTAACTGAATCACCTGATTTTTGTCTCACCAGGCAGTTCATGGTAAGGCAGAATATTGAGCCAAATGGCACAGAGTCCCATCAATGAGATGTCATCTTAGGTTCTACAATGGAAGAGAGATAGAAATGAAGCAAATCAGTAACATTCTGGGAAGAAGTGTCAGCTGCCTCTTCCCATCTTCAGTAGGGTGGCAGGTGGTGGAAGATGAAAGAACAGGATTATAACCGTGCTATCATAAGAATTACAAAGAATCTCCAGGGCACGTTGTCTTAATCTATAGAAAACAAACTTACTTCCCCTACAACCTGCCTTTACTAAACCCCAAACTGTTGTGATGAATTTCAGAGCATCCCTCTTGTCTAGAAATTTCTCACCACCACCACCACCTGTTCCAATGATGTTTTGAAGACAAGGGCATATGACATTTAGCTGAAGGGGGGATTATTCGCAGGAGACCTAAAAGGTTTATAGTTCAAACTGAGTTGAATTGCTTGTGTTCTAATTCCTTACCGAGTCTCTTCCTTTGGCACATGCTTTCAGTACCGAGGGTGCATTGATGGTGGTAAGAACAATAACAACAATAATTAAGGCAATTCCCTTTCTCCCAGAATTGGTGACCTATGACACGTCTCACTTAACTTTTCTTGTCGGGTTCGAACAGCTGCTGAATTCAAGGCTGTGTGGAGCAGTGGCTATGCTTCATGTGGAGTACTTGGCCAAAACAAGCCAGAGATAACAGGATAGGCATACGGAATACTTAATTAGCTAGAGTAATTGTTTAGGCCACATCGGGGGAAAAGAGAAAACGCATCAAAGAAAAGCCTTGGATTTACATCAATGTACAATATTATAAATAATTACTGTTGCGTGACTAGGTGGCAACAGCCCCAGCCCCCACAAATCATAAGGAAGGAATAAAGACTCTGACAACGTTATATGGAATTAAAATTAGGCCTCAACTTTGTTAAACTTCCAAATGTAGGAAGACCTTGGCTTGTATCCCTCCCATCCTCCCAGCCAGGGGGAACTGGGGCTCATCAGGGTAAATGGGATATGGGGGTGCTCTGTGCGACATAAGTGCTCTGTGCACGCAGGGTAGTTCACTGACGACTTTTCAGTGTATGGACAGTGACACCCATATATATGACCCCTTTAAGAGGGGGACCCTGGAATCGCTGCTGCAGGGGGGTGAATCACCACTTCACGCCCCCCCTCCCATATACGGAAGAAAAGACTAAAGGATTCCACCCGAGGCCATAACCCCCAAAGTTGTGACGAATTGCTACGAGGAAGACAAAACCTGCCAATGCAGGAAAATTTCTTCCTGGTCCTTCAACAGCAACCAGTCAAAGATCGTAGAAGTGCCCACTAAACAGGAAGAAAAGGTTAACCTGCAAACAAGAAACATTAAACAAAGGGAGGGTAGGGAGGGTGAATCTCCAGAGCCGACTGACTGGCTATTGTCGGCTCCACCCCCTATTAAGAAACTTGATTACTGAGGCTGGGCGTGATCCTCCAAAAATTAACACGGAGAGGCAAGCCAGCTGCTGTTTTCCAGTAAGCTCCCTGGGAACTGTAGCACTGCGCGCGAACCCACAAAGGGCACCCACAATGTAAAGTGTGAGTGCTCATTAATATAAATATCAGAATACAACATAAATCACCATAATGCTGACGTGTGACCTGGGTGCCTGCTCCGGCTACTATGCAGGTGCTCAGAGCTGATGGGCAACTTCCAAGCCCATGAACAGAAAAACATCAGAAGAGCCCAGCTGCACCAGGCCAAAGGCCCGTATAGCATTCTCTTCTCAAAGTGACTACCTAGGTGCCCTGATGGGAAGCCCATCAAGCAAAACCTGAGCACAATGGAACTCTGCCCACCTGCGACTCCAAGCAACTGGTTTTCCCAACTTGTTTTCTCTGGCAGGGGGACGTGGTGTACAACAGCAACGAACATAATCAGACATAGGCACTACTCCACCTCTTTCTGCACATGCATGCTTCTGTTGCCCCATGATTTCCCCATGAAAACAGCAGGAAAGTTCCGTATGCCAGTATACCACCCCAAATTTCATCACTTGACGTGATTTTCCAGATTAAGGAGGCTCTAAATGGATTTTTATTCTGGAATCGGATGACACAGAAATGAGTGCTCAACAGACACTATATTGCATTAATTTTCCAGAAGTGGCTTTTATGTCATCTGAGAGCTCAAATATAATGTGGATATTAACAGCTAGGGAAATGTCGGGGAAATGGAATAAGCTTCTGTGTGAATGCAGCCCTGGTCTTCAGTCTTAGGGTTCTTTATCTTTAAACTGCACTTGGACATTCAAACAGAGGACTCTTTCAAACAGAAGACTGGCCTGTATCAACCCTTCTCTTCAAAGAGAGGCTTCTGCTCTGTAAGGCAGGACAGTCTGTCCTCTGTTACATCCCCCACCGCCAGATTTACTATGGATTTAGAAAATAATAATAATTGGCTATATTTTAGCTTTTTCGTTTGACACATATGCCCCCCGCTTTTTTAATGACACTGCTGTTGTTTTGTCTGGAGAGAAATCCACTAGTCCAATCTTTCCCCAGGCATTCAGTGTCCTTTGTTCCCAACATTTAATCTAAAATGTTGCTGCTGAGTCAATCTCTAAGAATTTAAAGATGCAAACAAATGAGATGAAATCTCGACATCCTTCCTTCCTAGAAAAAGGACACAAGCCTTAGAAGTACAGACTAAGCATAGTTATGACCTGAGAGAAACCCACAATCTTGCATTAATCGGAGCTCAGGGCAAAAGGGGGTGATGTTCAGAAGTCATTGTGTACCTCTAGCAGTAGCACTTGATGATGTGGGAAGGTAACACCAACTGGGTGGCTTTAAAACAGGATTGAACAAATTGATAGAGGGTTAGACTATCAATAGCTAGTAGGCATGATGGCTATTCACAGTCGGCGGCACTATGCATCTGTTGACCAGGTTCTAGGAAACACAGGTGGGGAGAGGCAGTGGTGTAGTCTGGGTTGCCAGCACCTGGGGCCACATGGAGGGGCTAGGTGGGAGAGAAGGAAATGAACAGAGTACGCACATGCATTCAACTGCCTAACAGCATCTGCGTCACCCATGAGATCACAGCCACAGAGATAGTCAAAAAAGAGTTGTTCCATTGTTTGGAGAGGTCACTTTCTGGTTCTCATGGAGATGCCGTTTTCAATGGAGCCCAGTAGTGAGGCAGCACCAGGTGTTGAAATTTTATGCCTCTAGTAATTTTGCATCTGGGGCAACCACCTGTCTGCCTCCCACGCTGCGCCACTGGGGAGAGGGCTGTTGCCACCAGAGTTTGGTTGTGAGTATCTCATATGGATCTTGTTGGGCACACTGAAAACAGGAATGATGTCACTCATTCGACAGGCATGGGGAATCTAAGAAACACCACATGTTACTGGACTGCAGCTCCTATAATCCCTGACTACGGATGGAAAGATCTATCAATTTTGTCTTTCACATTTTCTCATTTTTCCTATCTTAAATTTGGTTGCCCACATTTTTTGGCATTTTTTTAAAAAATCAAAAAATCCTCGTGTCATAAAAATTCGCCAGTGTTTTAGTGCAAATATCTCCAGATATGCACATTTTTATATGCTGTTTTGACTACTATGCAAATTTTAGCAAGTCATTCCCCACAATGCATAGCATCTTTATGTGCTATTTTCACCAATATGTTTGTTCTTATGGAAACTTTTCCCCAATATATGGATTTCCATAAAACTTTGGTTGGTGAACTGCATAGTAAAATGGATGGTTTAGTTAAGATTTTTGCATTGCAGTGGGTTGGTCTAAATGACCCTCGGGGTCTCTTCCAACTCTACAATTCTATGATTCAATGAAAATGTCAAAGTTGTGTTTCAGTTTACATATCATTTGCAGAAGTGTGAATTTGATTCAGATACACACACACACACACACACACACACCATCATTTTTCAACATTGTAAAACATACTTTTATATCTTGTACATTTTTTTACTTCCATCAATCACATCTGAAAATTTTCTAATCTTTCCCTCTTAATTTACATTTCTTACTTCACTATTACTTTTGAATATCATAACTAATGTCTCTCTTCTTTATCTTCTTTGCAATGTTTCATTTACTCCTCCTTACAAAACTTCTTGTAGTCCTACTAGCGTAATTTGTTGATTACAATTGCTCTTCAAATAGTTCACATATTTATTCCAATCTTCTGTGAATCTCTGGTCCTCCAGGTTTCGAATCCTTCCTGTCATCTTATCCAATTCTGAGTAGTCCATTAACTTTGATTTGATTCAGCGTTAAATGAGTTGGGAATCAAATATCCCCCTCCTCCCCTATCCCTGGCCATTGGCCATGCTGACTGGGGCTGATGGGAGTTGGAGTCCAACAACATCTGGAGGACCACAGCTTCCGCATCCCTGCCATTGGGGAAGAGTGATAGTTGTTGAGCTGACTTTGATATTCCCAACTAAGCAGGGTATATATATTTTTTACAGTGTGTGCACTTTTTTTTTTACTGTTCTTTCTCTGTTTCCAGAGGAGGTGATGTTAGCAGAAGAAGACAAGAACGCCGAAGAGAAGTCACCCCTTGATGGTAGGTTGCTTTGTGGTACATTTGGCTTCTTTTGCATAAGGTTTGTATGCTCTGTGTGTGTCTCAGTGGCTTTTCATGAAACAAAAAAGGGTGGATTCTGTGTTTGTTGCCTGGAAGTGCAATAAAATAGTCCATTTCAGCTTCTCTCTGTTTCTCATTCAGCAACCCCCCATCACAGATTCAATTCATCACATTTTCACAGCAATTTTTGTGCTTTTAAAAAAAAGACTTATAATACCCCCAGCATTTTAGTGTGAGTTTCTCAAAACGAACAAATTTTCACAAGCCATTTCCCCAGATATAACGCGCTTTTTCTAGGCTGTTTTCAGAAATGTGTGCATTCTTACGCACACTATGCATTTAGTGTATGTTACTTTCAAGAAAACATACACCCTTAGGCACACTTTACCCTAAGATAATGCATTTGTGCTCACTTTGCTTGGTAAGAGAACTGCATTGCAAAATTTAGAGAAAGGGCAGATTTTGAAGGACAGCTGCGTTTCAGTTCACTTAATGGTTGGTGAAGTGCAAATTAGGCACTTTCTCATTAAAATGAAAACAAACTCAGATTTCTCCTTGCATCCCAAGCTGTATGTCCCAAGAGGCGTTTGATGCAGCAGCAGTCAGGCTTGCTATGCTGGTGTTCCCAGCTGCCAACCCCGAAAACTTGAAGGATGGATAACAATATTTGAATATAACGTGGACCTGTCAGTGACACAGAATCTGTAGTCCATCTCAGGATTCCTTGACATATGTCTTCAGGCACTGAGAAGCAGACACCTGTGCATTGTGCATTTGCTGTGGGGAATTCCGGTCTAGCTGTAGGAGAGGCATAGGTCGCACCCACAGCATAGAAGCATAGAATTATAGAGTTAGAAGGAACCCCAAGGGTCATCTAGTCCAACTCCCTGCAAGACATTTAGAGCACTCACTATACATTTAGAGTTATCCCATCCCTGTACAGTCCCAGGCAGCCATATTTACTTTTACCATTTCTGCAAGATAGAGAATCTCAAAGCTTTAGTGCTGTGGATGTAGTCCAGCAACATCTGTGTGCTTCTGTTGCTTCTGAAGCCCCTCCAAGATAACTGGGAACTTCTGTCTCCTTGCTGCTCTTGGCATCTGGCTCATAAGATGTTAGAATTCACTAAAGTTCCATTAAAAGACTTTTCCCTCTTCCTTTTCTGACTGTCTTTCCTCCTCTCGTGTCTCCTCTTCCCCCTGCCTGCTGTCTCCCTTTCCTCTGTTGCTGTTCCCTTCTCCCCTTTTCTCCTCCTGTTCACTGTCAGGGAGGGCCACTTCTGAAGGCCCAATCCTGCGAGGCATGGCAGTGGTGGAGATTAGCGGCGGAGGCACCTATAACAGTGAGTGGACGGCAACTTGTCAGGGTTCTAGAGGGCACCAGTTGTGGCTTTAAGCTCCTGAGCACTATAGGTCATTCACACCTAGCTAGTAACATCATTGGTCTGGCTGATCAGTGATGAATCAGCAAAGAGTTCATCTTGAATGAGGATGACTGTGGGCCAGATTACATGAGACTTGGAAAGCGCAGTTTTGTCCTTCAATGCAGGGTTATGGTTCACAAATTTCCAGTGTGGAGTGATCAGGGTCCTGGGATGGGTAATAGTCCTTTAATGTTCCATTTCCCCCACTGTGGTCCTGATCTAGATTGGGTTCACCTGCAATTACATTGCCCCCCAAACTCCCATTGAAACCAATGAGTGGGACCGATCAAGATTAGTACTTCAGTGTAAGGCAAGAATGGGGGACCTGTGGCCCTCCAGATATTTATTTATTTATTCATTCATTCATAAAAATATTTATATACTACGATTAATAGAGGGGGGGAAACAGAGTGAAAAATCATAAAGAAAAATCATATAAAATTGTTAAAATCAGAAATCAGCTAAATACAATGGGAAGATGTATTCTTAATCGCCTATGTCAGCCTCTGACAGAATAAAAACATTTTCATTGGGCACATTAAAGTTGATGCAAAACAGTACTAAACCTTAGGTTATGTAAATACAATCCTGGTAACCACACACACAACGTAACAGGATGTTTTTGACTACGCAACTTCTATTTCAAACACAATTCAACATGTAATAACTCACAAAGTGTAATTCCATAGACCAACACATGATGCAAACAGAACATATCAAGAGAAATTAAAGCCCAATGGATGGTCAGGAGATAAAGTCCATTCAGTTCCTAAATTGGCATATTGGCAATAACCACAATATGGTATGCTTATCTTATGATGTTCCACGTATCACTGCTTTGAAGATTCTAATGTTCCTTGTATGTAGATATCGGAAATTTTGTTCTATCAGTTGAATTTGTTTTGTTCCATGTTTCTGTCATACAAGAATATGAGTTTGCACGGCTGTCGAAGCACAGTTGGGCGAAACAAGGTATTATCTCGGAGTCCTTGTGGTGCCCATACCGTCAGGTTTTCCATCTGATTCTCTTGATATGTTCTGTTTGCATCATGTGTTTGTCTATGGAATTACACTTTGTGAGATATTACGTGTTGAATTGTGTTTGAAAGAGAAGTTACATAGTCAAAAACATCCTGTTATGTTGTGTGTGTTGTTACCATGTTAAAGTTGAAACAAAACTTGAAGGTGCCTGCTAAATCTCAGTACTGAGCCAATGGCACTAAAGACTCAGTTTCTTGTTATCAAATGAGCCTCACCAACTCAGGGAACAACCAGTGATGCTTCTGCAGTTTATCTCAATGATTGAGGTTGGTTATCAGGAGGTCACTGAGATACACTGGACCTATGTTATTCAGGACTTTGTAGATTACTACAAAGACCCTGAAACTGGCTCAGAAGTAGATGCGTAAACAGTGCAGATGTTTTAACAATGGTGTCACCTGTTGTTGGCCAGGTGGCCTCATCAGGAGTCTTGTTATGGCATCTGGACCAGCTGGAGCTTCCAAGCCAGGCCCAGGGGGTGCCCCACATAGCGTGCATTGCAGCTATCCTGCCTCAGGGTTACCAGAAGAAGGACTACAGTGGTCAGGCTATTCCTGTCCAAGAATGGCTGCAGCCGCTGAACCAGAGTTAGTCAAAGGCACTCCTAGCCTCTAGTGACAAAGATATATCCAGAAGTACAGATTTTGCTGGACTGCAAATCCCATCAGCATGGCCAGAGTTCAGCAATAAGGGGAAGATGGATTCCAGCAACATTGGAAGACCACAGGTTCTCCATCCCTGTCCTACACTAAAGTACCTACTAGTCTGGATTGGGCCTCTCATGCTGGCAGTTGTGTGTGTGTGTGTGTGTGTGTGTGTGTGTGTGTAAGTTTGATGAGCAAGTCTGACCCATGTGGCCTTTTGGGGCAAGGTTGCTGGTATCTCAAAGGGGTTTGAATCAGAGATTAAATCTCAGAAGCCTTGGATTTTTTTAAATCTCTGGCTCTAACCTGGAGCTGAATGTCAACCTGACCTTCCACGGACTAAAGACTTGGAGGAGCAGGGAGAGTCCTCCTTCATCAGGGTTGCCTCAAGAGAATACTCTTGAGCAGACCTTGGGGTGGGTTCCAACAGAAGAGCCCCCCTCAGAGGATCACGCCTCTGGATCATGTTTGGACTGGATTCATATCAGTTTTCAATGTTTGATGTTTCTTTGGCTTGGCTTGGCTTCTATGGCTTCTTCTACTGTTGCTTGGTAATATTGTGTGTGAGGCCTTAACCACAGTGGCCTCCACAGCTGGGCTGCCAACCCTGTGTCCCTCCATATGATGCTGGACTACAGCTTCCACCATCTCCTGCCCATTGGCCTTCCTAGCAGGGGCTGATGGGAGTTGAAGTCCAATCACTTCTGGAGGGTCAGGGAAGGAGAAAACTCAGGCATTCCAGATGATACTGGACTGCAGCCCCAGACAGCATGGTCAATGGTTTGGGAGGATTGAAGTTGGAGCCCAGAACCATCTGGAGGACCACATGCTCCCCATCCCTACTGTAGGTGCAACTAGAAATGGGCTTGACTAGGGACATAAAAAGAGCTCTGTAGGATGAGACCTAAGAGTGTTTCCAAGAGTGGCCAGCTGCATGCTTCTGGCAGTCCTGCAAATAGGACGTGCATACAATATCACTTCTGTATGGTTGCCTCCCAGTAGCAGGCTTCTGATATACTGCCTCACCATGGAGGGTCTTTAGAGTCATCATGGCAAATAGCCATTGACATACTTCTCTTCCTTCATAAAGTTGTCAAACCTCCCCGTAGAGCAACTTGAGAGCAAAGATAAAAGCCACTTGAAAGCAACGGGCCACTGCTATATTTTGCAACAGCAAATTCCATAAACCTGTTTTGCATTGTGAAGAAGGAGTTCATTTGATTCACTTTGTTTTGTCTTGAAATTACTGCCAGTCATTTTCACTGGGGAAAGCTTATGGGGAGACACAGGAGAGAACTCTCTTTAGACGTCATGTAGGAGATGAGCAGGCTTATTGTTCTCTGTTGTTCTGGGGAGCAAGACTTTGGGATGAAAATTGTAGGGAAGTAGACCATGGCCAAAAAGTAGGAGAGAAATGTTTTAATGGGATGAACTGTTTGACAGGAAGTCTAACTCAGGAGGTGGTGGGCTCACATTTGCTTGTAGCATTTTAAGCAAGGGCTGCAGAATCATCAGTCAGCGATGCAGTAGTTGCACCCCGCATTGCAGATCCTGAATTGAATGGAAGGGCTGAACTTGAAGACGTCTCTTCCAATTCAGTAGTTCTATGATGCACTCTGAGTTGCAGTGCTATGACAGAGGCAGAAGTACTGTACATATATTTCTCTATTTTCTTCTCACCAAGCATACCCTTCATAGCCATCATCTACATAAACAAAAAATACTTCTGCATTTTATAAGAACATTAGATGTTTAAATCACCTGTTCAGGTTTCTCCACAATCATCATTACTGAATATGTGGACAAATAACATGAAAGCCTGTCGCTCTAAATAACTTTTGATATGGATGCAAGTTGCAGCTATAGTCTACTCATGGAGAACTTTGCAAAATCTATTTGTCTTTGTGGTATAAGAACTTATGGATTTGTGCTGTTGCAGAAGCAGTAACAAATATATTGTGGGTCCCTAGAGGAATGAAGGACGCAGAATGCTTCTGTGTCATCTGGTGAGATTTTATTTCTTATGCTTCACATTTAGATGCCCAACATTCACCATCCACACCAGCTAGGGAAGTATGTATATATTGATTCTTCTTCTTCTTCTTCTTCTTCTTCTTCTTCTTCTTCTTCTTCTTCTTCTTCTCCTCCTCCTCCTCCTCCTCCTCCTCCTCCTCCTTTTCTTTTCTTTTCTCTCTTCTGCTACTGCACTCTTGGATTTTCAGTTATAGTCACTATTTGTTATTACAACTTTCAATACAAATAAATATATTTTTCCTAACAGATAGGAAGTGAGCCTACTTCATGGTTTAGTAATACAAATTTATAAAGTATTGCATCCTTCTCTCTCTCTCTCTCTCTCTCAAACTTTTTTTTAATCAAATTTCAAGGAAAAAGAAACATTTCCACATATACTCCTCAATACATTTTTTAAATACTTTCCACCCTGTTTTCCAGGGTGATTTTATTTTCTTCCCCTTTGATGCACTCTGTCTTCTAGCTCTTATAACAATATCAAAGTAAGTTCTAATTCTTTCTGTTGCTCATGCCTCAAATCCTCTTCGTGAATTCATCATACTATAATATTTCTTTAAATAGTCCAAAAAAGGCTTCCATTCTTCCACAAAGCTGTCATCATTAGGTTCTCCTAATTCAGCTGTTAACTTTGCCATTTCTGCATAGTCCATCTTCTTATAAGTTCTACTTATCCATTCTTCTTTCGTAGGAGTTTCTTGTAGGAGCATATAGAATCCTTGCTGCTGTCATAGTGTACATAAACAATCATCTTTTTTGGGACTTGTGTTCTTCTAATCCCACCCAAAGCTTCAGGGTTTTTTTTTGGGGGGGTATAATCACTTTAAACATCTTTTTAATCTCATTATATATCATTTTCCAAAATACCCTTTCTTTCCTACAATTCCACCACATATGAAAAAAGGATCCTTCAGCCTTTTTGCATTTCCAGCAGTTATTAGAAACCTTCTTGTATATTTTAGCCCAATTACTAGTTGTTAAATACCATCTATATATCATTTTAATATAATTCTCTTCTATAGCATAACATAAATTTTTAATTTGTTTTTCACAACTTTCCCCACACATTTATTTCTATGTTATGTCCTAAATCCCTGGCCCATTGTATCATTACTGGTGTATTGCATCCTTCTATCTCATTTAGTTTTCTGGTGAGATTTTAATTTTAAAATTTCATAATACGGTAAAATAAAGACTATCAAAAATACAAATAGAATAAATGGAATACGGAGTCTTCTCTTAGTATTTCATAGCCTTTGCCACCCACAGAGGACAGTAACTCCTCCCAGCTTACCTGGGATCTTTCCTTGTTTTTCCAGCCTCAACCAGGGAGACCATCATTTCCCTGTCTCTCACCTAGGGTTCTCCATCAGCCATCTACAATCCCTGGACCTTGATAAAGGCCCCATATACAGGACCCCAAAGAAAGAAGAGAAACAAAGAAGAGAGACAGACAAAGAACGTAAAGAACAATGAGGAGAGAGAGAGAGAAAAAGAAACATTACAAAAAGAAAACTTCAGATTTTCCATCTGCCGATTTCATAAAAGAAATAAAAAAGGATTATTTAAGATATTCGGTTCGTGCTAGCGTCCATCTTCCCCCTTTCTGCTAAACAATATTTCTTTTAAGTCAAGGTGTCTCAGGTTCATTTCTTTTCCCCATGAAAAGTCCAAGATGAGTTCCCGAATTGTTATTACTATTGGTAAATGTCAACCATATTTTTTCCCCTTTTGATTTACCTCTTGTCTAATTTTAATTGTAGACTCAGTTTATCAGAAAGAGGTTTATAATAGGGGCAATAGCAGACAAAACACCATGCATGTCTTTGCTCTCTGTTTCACCATTTCCCCCACGTTAGCTGTCCCCAGAGTTTGCCCCATTTCCACATCAATTTCCAGCTTGTTATTTTTGTTTTTTTGTTAAAAAGAAGCCTGCCCAGAATAATACAGTGCATTTGTGTGTGAATGCACTTTTCACTCATGCACACTTTTTTGTGTGATTTTTTTTTTTGGGGGGGGGGTAGAAGACACAGGAAAATTTGGAGGAGCAGTGGTAGATAGAACTCATTCATAATGACCAGTACTCATAGGCAGCCAGATCTCACAAGTTCATTTTCCTTGTTGCACAGATAGTCCCTAAGGAATGATGGATTTTTCGATGTCTTGAGTGGTTCTTGTTTTGCCTGTAAGCTGCCTTGAATTCAGTCAAAGGAAGAGGCAGGATATATATTAACAACAACAACTCTTTCAAAGGCATCCGACATCTTGTGGGAGCAAACTCTATAGGTTAAGCTGGCATTTCACTGATCCTGTATGTCTGGTAAAGGAAGAAGTAACGTGTGATGCATCTGCAAGGCTACCCACCCTCTCTTTCCATTTTAAGATGTTCATGGGCAGATGGAGGAGGCTGAGCATATCTGAAAGGCTACCTAAATTATGGCCCCTGGCACAAGAATCTGTGAGGGAAGCTGTTGGCTGATTGATTTCTAATGGCTTAGTGGTGTGTGGCTGTTCTGGCCTCCAGGTGGAGAGGCAATTTGGGTCTCTAAGCTTGTGTGAGTTGGGAGGGTTTATCTGTTGCTGGATGCTAACCACCTTTTCTTGTCTTTTTTCCTCCTTACCCCTTTTGCATTAGTGCTGAAAAGAGCCACAATCAAGAAGAGCAAAAATGACCTAATCCATGCTGAAGAAGGGGAGGACCACTTCACAGATGTTTGTTCTGTTGGTAAGTTTAAGATTTAATATACCAAGGTATTATTGTTATTGTTATTGTTATTATTGGATAGATTGTCTCATGAAACAACAAAGCCAGGTAACCTCATGAGAATGTGGCGAAGCCTAAAGAGAACCCAAGGAAGTAGATCGAACCTGCAATCTTAATCTCATAAGTGAGCAGAGTTTGCTACTGAATTGACCACTGGCATTCCACCTTGTTAATGGGAGATGGGTGTTGTGTAGGCTTCTTTTGAGTTCCATCATAAAATGTAACCATCTTAGAGCATGGATGTACAATCTCCAGCCCATGGGTCAACCTTGGCCTGTCCAGGGATCAAATTTCCTCCAAACCACGCACATTTGCCAATCAGCTGACATTACTGTAAGGGTGCAATCCTAACTAAGCCATTAGCCTGGTAGTAGAGCATCTGATTTCATGCAGAAGGTTGCAAGTTCAATCTCTGGCACTTCCAGACACGGCTGGGAGAGGCTATCTTTCTAAAAACCCTGGAAAGCCACTGCCAGTTAGTGTAGGGTTGCCATATTTTGAAGATAAAAACAAAACAAAACAAAACATATGCCTACGGATCTAGGGCATGCTGTGACTTTAAACAATTCAGAGGCAATCTGGTGGGTTTCCTCCTTGCCCTGCTTGCACAAACGTCCCCTCCCAGCTCCTCACTCAGTGTGGTGTAATGGTTAAGAGCGGTAGTCTCGTAATCTGGGGAACCGAGTTCGCGTCTCCGCTCCTCCACATGCAGCTGCTGGGTGACCTTGGGCCAGTCACACTTCTCTGAAGTCTCTCAGCCCCACTCACCTCACAGAGTGTTTGTTGTGGGGGAGGAAGGGAAAGGAGAATGTTAGCCACTTTGAGACTCCTTAAAGGGAGTGAAAGGTGGGATATCAAATCCAAACTCTTCTTCTTCTTCTCACTCACTCATTCCCCGCCCCATCGTGCTTTCTTCTTCCCCCTCTCCTTTTTCAGCTGTTCTCTCCCCTCTCCAACCCCCTCCCTTGTGCTCTGGTGTGGAAGTGGAGGCTGCGAAGGCAATGACAAATTGTTGAAATTTACATCCCAACTTTACCAGTGCCTCCCGGCTGCTGCAAGAACCACGTCTCTCTCCCTCTCCAGCCTTTGTTTTCCACCATCCTGTCCGGTTTGCACCCTGATCTGCCCGATCTCCCACCCAGATCACCAACCCTGCAATCAATTAGCTGGTTGCTGCAGAGCCCACCATACTGCTGCCGGTGCTGCAGCTGCAGCTTGCAAGCTTGCAAGCTGCTGCCTCAGCCGCTGGAGCTTCCCTGGCAACTTCAGCACCTGCCTATGATAAAGCTGCACAGCTCTCTAAAGCAGCAGCAGTGCTGCTGCCAGGTGCCCGGTGCCCCCCTCTTCATCCAGAGCAGCCACCGCTGCCACCGTGCAGGGCCAGTGGCCTCATAGAGCACATGGAACAGACATAATCAGGCATCAGCAACAACAAAAACAAAACTGGACATTTTGCATAATTTTAAGAATCCACCCAGACTGAAATTGTGAACTTTAAAAAGAAGACAAATCTGGGGGAAACCAGACATATGGCAAGCCTAAGTTAGAGTAAACAATACTGAGCAATATGGAGGCGTGGTCTGGCATGGAATAAGGCACCTGCCAATGTTCCTGTGTCTGCTCAGAAATAAGTTGCATTTAATTCAATGGGATTTATTCCCGGGCAAGTGTGTGTTTTTTAAAAAATATTTTTTATTAGATTTTCAAATACAAAGTCCGAAATATAAAAAGCATAAAAAGAGAAAAGAAAGGAAACAAAGAAAGTAGCAAAAAAGATCCAACTTTCAAAAACATTTTTACATTACCAACTAAACTTCCCCACATCTCCCTCACCCTGCATTCTTTACAAAAAACAACAACATATCAGCAAATTATTACCTTGTTTCATACCTTACTTGTATCTTTCAAATATTATACTTCTGAGTTTAAAGTATTTTTCATCTATCACTTATACCTTAAAATAAACATAGTGTAACTTTAAATTTCAACCTTTTCTTACTTATAACTTAGTTTCCTGTCCACCAGATCTAATTGCTGAAGCTAAAATTTCCAAATCATGCAAATTCTTAACATTCATACAGCTTATAGTGCTTTTGTAAATAGTCCTTAAATCTTTTCCAGTCCTCTTCCATTGCTTCTTCTCCCAAGTCTCGGATTCTGCTAGTCATTTCAGCCAGTTCCATATAGTCCATCAATTGCGTATTCCCGGGCAAGTGTGTTAAGACTGCAGCTGTAGTGGGATTTTTTTTTTTTTAAGGTGCCGCTGTACATGCCATTTCTTTCACTCATGTTACCCACTTTTTAAAAAAGAGTCAGTTATCATAATGCTTTGAAAAAGTGATCGTGAGGTCCTTGCAGACAATTTTCAGGGAATTGCAGTGGTACCTCAGGTTACAGATGCTTCAGGTTACAGACGCTTCAGGTTACAGACTCCGCTAACCCAGAAATAGTACCTCGGGTTAAGAACTTTGCTTCAGGATGAGAACAGAAATCGGGCTCCGGCGGCGCGGTGGCAGCGGGGGGCCCCATTAGCTAAAGTGGTGCTTCAGGTTAAGAACAGTTTCAGGTTAAGAACGGACCTCCAGAACGAATTAAGTTCTTAACCCAAGGTACCACAGTACTGAGCAACTTGTCTGGTTAGCAACCAGCAAAAGGCTTACACCCCTGCTAGTCAGCATATTTTCATGGAAACTTGTAATTATATAAAAGTTTTCTATGAAGCCTTGTAACCAGCTCATTAAAATTATCAATGTAAAAATGCTATGGAAGTCATTTCAGTGCAGTGTTCCAGAGAAGCATGGCTGGGCACATTTCAGGTGCCTGAAAATAATAATAATAATAATAATAATAATAATAATAATAATAATAATAATTATTATTATTTATATCCTGCCCTCCCCAGCCGAAGCTGGGCTCAGGGTGGCTAACAACAATAAAACAGTACAAGAGTACAACACAACACTCTAAAATCATTCATTATAAAATTAATTCAAATCAAACCAATGGCAACCAATATCCAGATAGTTGAGCAGGTTCCTATGTATCTGGGTTGGGGTAGTGCAGCCTTGATGGCCTGAAGAAAGGTCTCTCAGCTCTACTCTAAGCTTTGTATCTTTCCAATGCTCACAGGTTCACCATTTGCCCGGGCCAGCCTGAAGAGCGGCAAGAATGAGAGTTCCTCCTACTTCCGTAGGAAAGAGAAGATGTTCCGGTTCTTCATCCGGCGCATGGTGAAAGCACAGAGCTTCTACTGGATGGTTCTCTGTGTTGTGGCTCTCAACACCCTGTGCGTTGCCATTGTGCATTATGACCAGCCAGAGGGGCTCACTACTGCTCTGTGTAAGTAAAGCTCTGGGATTACTCTGGCCCTGAACCTTGGCATCATCTCAGATTGAGGAGCTAACCCAGGGGAACTATGAACAGATAGCTTCTTGGATTTTTCAAAAAGAATATTCAGACTCACTGATACAATAATCATATGATGCCCTGCCATTTTCCCCATTGGACAGGGGTCAGCAAATTTTTTCAGCAGGGGGTCGGTCCACTGTCCCTCAGACCTTGTGGGGGGCCAGACTATATTTTTTTTGGGGGGGGTGAACGAATTCCTATGCCCCACAAATAACCCAGAGATGCATTTTAAATAAAAGCACACATTATACTCATGTAAAAACATGCTGATTCCCGGACCGTCCGCGGGCCAGATTGAGAAGGCAATTGGGCTGGATCTGGCCCCCGGGCCTTAGGTTGCCTACCCATGCCATTGGATATGTATATGTGTGTGTGTGTGTGTGTATACACACACACACACACACACACACACACACACACACACACACACATTGGTACCTCGGGTTACAGGTTACAGACTCCGCTAAACCAGAAATAGTGCTTCAGGTTAAGAACTTTGCTTCAGGATAAGAACAGAAATCGTGCAATGGCGGCGCGGCAGCAGTGGGAGGCCACATTAGCTAAAGTGGTGCTTCAGGTTAAGAACAGTTTCAGGTTAAGAACAGACCTCCGGTACGAATTAAGTACGTAACCAGAGGTACCACTGTATATATAGGAGCCAACCAGATGCCTGCAGGAAACCCAAAAGCACAAGAGCACTCTCCCCCATTGCAGATTCCAGCAACTGGCATTCAGAAGCATTATTACCTACAAGTGTAGAGTTTACAGAAGGGCAGGGGAAAGATGAGGGCAGGAACCAAGTGCTCAGTGAGTGTCCCCAAATACCAACCTATGCATGTGGGGCAAATCGAAATCACATCTATATGGTGCCAGAGACATTGAAGTCAAAGCAAGGCACATGTGTGAAGCAAAACAAACAAACAAACAAACAAACAAACAAACAAACAAACCTAACTAACAAACAAAAAACTTACCTCTTTTGTAAGGTTCAAACTAGAGAAGAGACTCTCTTGGTTTGTGAGTTTTCTGTTCTTTTTCAGAATCAAACATCAGAAGTAATAAGACAGTTTGATATTATATGCTTCCTATTTCATTTGGGGCTAAGTGGGGTGTGGGTGTAGGTGCCACCATCCTTTTATAACCCCACCCACCCACAAAAGAAGGGGAACCATTAGTTTGCTTGTAGAGAAATGCTTTCAGTCTAGCTTTTTTCTAAAAAAATAAAAAATAACTTTTATGTGCTGATATTCATCTCCCAGCTGGTGCCAGAAAGAATGTTCTTGTTAATTACAAATTGAGTGAAAAATTAGACGGGCTGACATACGGGGCGGGAGGGGGGGAGAAGGGCCATTTTTATTGCAAAGCAGATAAAAGAAAAAAGGGAATTCAGCAGCTAGATGTGGCTGAAAGTAGATATTGCCAAAGGAGAAGAGCTAATGTGGGAAGCTTGTCGGTTCTTTGATCAGTATAGTGAGGAGGAAGCTAATATGGACATTTTAGCTCATAACTCATCAATAGAGCATCTGTTCTTCATGCAGAAGGTCCCAGGATCAATCCCTGGCACCTCCAGGTAGCAGTGGAAGATAACCCTCCGATAATCCTTGGAGAGTCACTTCCAATCACTGTAGACAGGAACCAATGGTTTAACTTGGCAGCTTTCTATGTCCCTGTGAAGTGCATTTGTTGAAGAGGGGCCCAAAGAATAGCAACAGCAAAAAAACAGACTTCCAACTACAGTCGAACGTTTTGGCTCTTGAACTCTGCAAACCTGGTAGTGAGTGTTCCAGTTTGCGAATATTCTTTGGAACCCAAATATCCGCTGCAGGTTCTGCACATTCTGGTTGGCTGCAGGAGCTTCCTGCAGCCAATCGGAAGCTGTGCCAAACTTTTTGGAAGTCGAACAGACTTCCGGAACGGATTCTGTTCGACTTCTGACGTATGACTGTACAAGTTTAGAAGGAATATCTGGGGGGTGTCTGTCCATCAACAGGTTAGCCCTGTTGGTGTTCCTCAGCAGCAAGAACAGCTGAAAGATGGTTTGCCCACCAATTGGCTTGGTAGAGAAATTTGAATTCAGTTTATGTGGGCAAACTTACCTAATCCACACTTTCTGAAACAATATGCGAACTGAAATTTGCTTTGCTTCAGATTATACCCATGCAGTTTTCAAACCCAGTAATTGGGGTAAAGTGTATATGAAAATGCATATATTAGTAAAAATAAATGAATACTTGTTTTATTAGGGGAAATTGCATTGCAAAAATGTGTATATTAGGCAAAGTTCCATACCGCTGAATGCATCAGGAGAAATTTGCACTAAAATGCTTATGAATTTCCATGAGGACCTACAAAATCATTCCCACCCCCCAAGAACAGATGTGGAAATGTGGTGAGCTGAATTTAAGACTGGGATACTTAGAGAAACCTAAATTGACAGAGTCGCCCATCCCTATCTACAGTACCAGTCACCTGCTCTCCAGGTGGATTCTATAACATACCTTACTTTTCCTTGTATGACAAGTTTTTTTGTTTTTTGTTACTTTAATGTTGAGAAACGAGGGTTGTCTTATACACGGATAGTGCATAGTGGGGACGGGTGATTGGCTGGAGCAGCGAGCAATCATTTGTCAGCGGTGATATGGTGGATGATTGGTGGCTGCAGCAAGGGCTGCTTTGGATTGGCTGCTGTTGTGGTAATTGGGTGGGTGATTGGTTGCTGTGGCAAGGGCAGCTGTGGATATGCTGTCGCTGCAGCAAATGGGCATGCAATTGCTGGCTGTTGTTGGCGAGCGGGCAGACGCTTGTTGTCTTCAGCGACGCGAGTGATTGTCAGCGTTTTATAGTCGGGTTAGTGATTTTTGGCACCCCCCCTGCAAAAAGCTCCACAACTCTGGGCAATCCCCCCCAAAGCTCATCAACCCCAAAACTAGGGGTCGTCTTATACACGGTGTGTGTGTGTGTGTGTGTGTGTGTGTGTGTTATACATGGAAAAATACGGTAAATGGAAAGGATTTAAAGTTTTAGCACAGTTTGGTTGAAAAGCTTCCTGATTTGGTTAGATAAGTTCAGGATTGACACAGCTGATATGACTTCCTTGCCCCCAAAGCCCATGAGGATCCTTTAGCTGTGTCTTGCAGAGCCTTCAAAACCAGTCTTTGGGGATCTCTTACACAGATTGAACTTTAGGTAGTTGCTGGAATCCACAAGAGAGGGAGAGTGTTCTTCTGCTCTGTTTCTCTTTGTGGGTTTCATACAAGCATCTAATCGGCCACTGTGAGAACAGGATGTTGGAATAGATGAGCCATTGGCCTGATCTACTAGAGCTCTTCTTATTTTTATGTTCAGTTGGGCCCAAAGCTGAGGGACACCCTTTCATTAGTTCTATTTGCCCTGCTCTTTAGTGAAATATTTTCATTTTCTAAACACGAACCCTTTGACAGGAGAATCAAAATTCATTGAAATAGGTCTCAGCTCTGTTTATCTAACCTCCAAGTACTTCTGTGGGTTCTTTCTTTCTTTCTTTGATATTGATATATTTGAACAAAACCAAAAGGTTTATCCAGGTCTCTCTAATGTCTATAGGATGGAGAAAATTAGTTGGAGTGAGGATGGTTCTTAATTACCTAGGTTCTAAGAGCCTCTATTGGAAGTGCCCTTTCTTTGTTTAAACACATGGCTTATAACTGGCAGTTTCATTTACACACCTATATGGACTTCCTTTTATTAATATATATGCTTAAATCAGGTTTGATGGAATATTATTATTATTATTAATACTACTACTACTACTACTACTACTACTAATGTTTAATCCCCTTCTACACATTTGTTTCAGGGTGATGTAGAAAATATAATAGAGAAACCCAGCTAAAAACAGTTACAAAACTGTTTTTGTAGGCAAATAACAGGGGGCAAATAACAGCAGATTTGTTTATTTTTTAATAGCAAAGAGTAGACATCCATGGCAAAAATGTATACAACCAGCTGGGGGAGATTGGTAGGGGGAAATGTCTTCAATTGTTTCTGGAAAGTACAGATAGTGTGTACCTTTCATATCTTGACAGGAATGATGTTTCACAGCATTGCTTATTGTTAATGTCAACTGGCAATGGTTGTTGTTATTTAATTATTCTTAGTATTTTTATTATTTTTGTTCTTTGTTTCTGTTTGCAAATAAAAAAGAATGGTGAGGGTAGGGAGTGGGGAGAAATGGCTCTTCAGAGACTTAGCAGTGAATGTAAAAATAAAAAATAAAAATGTGTTAGCTTTGACAGTGCTAAAGACATGTATTTTCCCAGGACAATTTTTGCTTAGGCACAGCTTCAGAGTGATGTGAGCAGATTTGCCGTAGTCTGATTCAGACTATGGCAAATTCAACCCATAGTCTGCTTCAGCAGGATATTCTTATCTTCTAATGGATTAAATCTGATAAAATATTAGGAGCCAAGAAGGGGAGAACATTTTTGCACAAGTAGCTTTAGCATCAGTGGCCCATAATGCTTCTCACTGGCAGCACATGGGAAGAGCAGGGGTGCCTCCTAATTAGACAGATTTCTAGAAAGTGATTGTAATTGGACTTTGGACAAGATGTGTGAACTTCAGCCAGGAAGGGAGCAGAGTTTGCTCTAGGAGGATTGGTAACACCGTAAGCGTGATTTGGGCACCTCTAATTCAATCATGTCTCTCCCTCTAGGGAGAATTTAATTACGTTACAAATCAACTTCAATGCTGCTGAGAGCCTGTGGGTCTGCAGCGATTCCTCAGAACTCCCCGTCTCTGCCTCCTTTCTACTTTCTGCTTGTTGAAATGCTCTGATTAACTTTCTCAGCTTGACATTTCCAACGGTTTCCAAGCATTTTGAAAAAGGAACTGAAAAGGTGCTTAGCAAAAAAAGGGGGAAAGGGAGAAAGGAAAAATATGGGATGTGTCTCGTTTCATCTTTGTATAGCCAGCATGCTATAGACTCCGCTGAAGAGAATCTGGTTTGCACATGTTTGGATTGTGTGGATTTCCACAATAGCAGAACACTGACTCCACTGGTATTTATAAGCATGCTTTATTGAAGAAGAGACTTGAGTGTCTTGCCTATGAAGGAAGGCTAACAATTTTCAGAAAGAGTATTTAACAATCACCTACCCCACATATGCCCACCTGGCTGCTTCAGTCTATGGAACTGGTACTTTTACAGATGCCACATAATACCCATTCTACATTGATAAGAAAGTGACATTTTAGTGTGGCATCACCTACACTTCAGAACTCCTTGCCTATTGACATTAGGCAGGAGCCTTCAATGTACTCTTTTATGCACCTGCCGAAACCCCTTTACCTTTAGGCATGTCTACGCAACTACACTGAATGCTGATGTGTGTTTTAATCCGTTTTTATCTCATCATTGGTTTTAATTATTTTTAGAACTACAGTGGTACCTCGGGTTACAGACGCTTCAGGTTACAGACTCCGCTAACCCAGAATAGTACCTCAGGTTAAGAACTTTGCTTCAGGATGAGAACAGAAATCGTGTGGCGGCAGCAGTGGCAGGCCCCATTAGCTATAGTGGTACCTCAGGTTAAGAACAGTTTCAGGTTAAGAACAGACCTCCAGAATGAATTAAGTTCTTAAACCGAGGTACCACTGTATTTAAATAGTTTTCCACTGGTTTTTTTTTTTTTGGTTTTTTTTACTGATAATCTCATTGTTTATTCTTTGTGCAAACCACATTGAGGTATATAAATTTTGTGAAATGAAGATTGGGATGAATAATGTGGCATACCCAGTGTTGTCCAGGGAAATCAATTAGCTGGTGATTCTGGACAGATGAAGGAAAGGTGTCCCTCACACAAACCTTGGTGAATAGTGTGGCCCTAATGGTGGCATTGGACTCCAGCTCCCATCAACCCTAGCCAACATGGCCCAAGGTCAGGCATGATGGAAGCTGTCGTCCAGCAACCACTGGAGGACCATGGGTTGCCCCCTAGAAACCTTATGACCAGAACCCATCCCATTCAGCTGTGCACTCTATGCAGAGCCTACATTAATGCAATTAGTTTCTTGATGATTTTGTGTTTGCCTTTGATGTCTCAGCCCGGTTCCCTGTGGATATCAGTATGCAGAGCACAGGGAAGCTTCAGAAACAAGCATGCTTATTTATGTCTGCTGAATATTTTAGGTGTCATTTCAAGAAGTGGGTCAGCCAAAAACTGGATGCTGATGGATCTCCTTCTCTGCACAAGTGTTCACAGTCTTTGTGGGACAGGAAAGACCTGTAGTACCATCTCTTGTGCCTGATCCTAATGACCTTAGACTATGTGACAGCATGAAAATAGAATTAGTCTGTCGCTGATTGACACACACACACACACACACACACACACACACACGATGCTAATTACCTAATTCAAATATATTGGGTAGGAAAGTAACCAGCATGGCCTTTGCCAGGAGCACAGGTTTCTAAATTAAGTTAAACTGTTTATCACAAACTCTCTCCTCTGCCTTCTGCCATGCACTCCCTTCTTCTCATCCCATGGCTTTATGAAATGCTTCTGCTTAAGGTAGCTTAAATTAAATCTAAAGACCAGCAACCAAGAATTGCATTTTTCAATCAAATGGGCCAGGGCCATGTCAAAAAAAAATCCTCATCCTGACCCGTCAACTGAAGGAGAGGGTAGAAATAGGAGCCATTGGCAGGAGTAATGGATGGATAATCACTGGAACCAATCTTTGCTCCCTTGATTTAAAATAATCTGCTTCGTAAAGGTTGGCCAATGCCAGGGCTCGTAACAAATAGTGGTGCCAGGGATGCGGGTTGATCATGCAACCCAAAATTTCCCTAGAAAATTTTGAGATTTTTCTCTTTCTGAATGACTACGTTCTGCTTCCACTGATGGAGGCTGCATGTCCCTGAGGTACAAGTGCGGAGTAAGCTGTTACACTCAGGTCCTACTTGTGGGTTTCCCAATAGCATCTGGTTGGCCACTGCGAGAACAGGATGATGGACCACTTGCCTGATCCAGCAGGTTGTTCTTATGTTCTCAGTCCCCTGGAGAAAGAATACCAATCTGCAGAATTTTAAGGACTTAAGAAGAGTCCTGCTTGATCTAGTCATCTAGTCTAGCATACAATTCTTTCCAGAAAGCCAGCTTGGTGTAGTGATTAAGAGCGGTAGACTCATAATCTGGTGAACAGGGTTCGATTCCCTGCTCCTCCTCATGCAGCTGCTGGGTGACCTTGGGCTAGTCACACTTCTCTGAAGTCTCTCAGCCCCACACACCTCACAGAGTGTTTGTTGTGGGGGAGGAAGGGAAAGGAGAATGTTAGCTGCTTTGAGACTCCTTAGGGTAGTGATAAAGCGGGATATCAAATCCAAACTCCTCTTCCATGACCAACCATGGCAAGTCTGAAAACAGCATGTGAATGTCACAGGCTCCCCCACCCCAATCTGGTGCTCCTCAAATGTTATTGGACCTCACCTCCCACCAGTCCCAGCCAGCATGGCCAATGGTCAGGGATGCTGCAGGCTGGGGAAGGGAATATTCAGATAATACAGTATGTCTCTGATTGTTCTCCAGTGTATCTGTGAAGGAACTGGACCTTACTTGTATGGACTGTTGTGTTTTAGGTGGGATTCATGTTAGCAGCTCTTTATTCATTGGACATTGTAGGGCTGACTAGCTTCCAAATATCAAGGCATTGAAATGACCAGTGTGGATGGGAGGAAAGTCACATCCCAGCCTGGGGTTTCATGTCTTCCTATAGTCTACTGCGAGGAGCTTGTGGTTGACAAGGAGAGTCTATATCTTGGGATAGCCAACTAGGGAGGCCTGAAATTCAAGGTGGAATGCAGCATGACAGATAATATTGGTGTGCCTGGAAGAGGCAAAAAAGGAGGAAAGGCTGTTGCTTGAGAGAAAGAGCCTTCTGAAAACCTGATGAGTTTAGGGGTAGGTTAGTCCAGAGAAAGCGGCTGACATTTTAAACTGCTCCCCCCTTTTGCTCCAAAGGGAATATTCTGGGTTTCAATGACATTTGCATTGTGTATCTTTTCCTTAATCTTCACATCTGTCCCCCCACCCTAAGTAAAATCTTCACTGGTGTGTTCTCACTTTAACACTATCGCACCTGGAGGCCAGTAACCTACCCTAATTGTGGTGGCTTCAGAGGGAACCCAGGGGAACTTGGAGGCTGATTGATAAGGCCAGCTTTGTAGAAACTATTGCCCTCTAGTCTGGTGGCTGTTGTCCTTTAGAGGGGGAGACTGAGCAGAGGGGTACACTCTGTGTTAGCCAGGAACACCCTCCCCTCAGTTGGCATGGAACTCAGTGCAGCTTGCGTATGGTTGTAGAGCCACACAGCAATGCTAAACACTGAATAGATTCTAATCTTTGACCAGAAACAGCAACATCCTTTTCTAATGGAGGACAGTAATTTGAACATCCCCGATAATTTGGATGGCTGGTGGACATTTCTGGTCAGCTCTCCATCTATTCTCAGTCCATCCCCATTGTAAGTTGGATAAGGGTTCTTGGAGACTCAGCACATCCAGATTTGGGAGCTCTAAAAAATACTTCACCATTATGTACTAATTATCTGCTTTCCCATGCAGCAGAAAGTTATTTTCTGCTGGCAGGATCTGCTCCACATCTAGGAGAGGTATCATCCTAATATCAGGAAATAATTTTGTTGATATTTATCATTGATTTGACCTTCTGCTGTTTCTTCCAGATTTTGCAGAATTTGTCTTCCTCGGCCTGTTCCTTACAGAGATGTCTCTGAAGATGTATGGCCTGGGGCCAAGGAACTATTTCCATTCCTCATTCAACTGCTTTGACTTTGGGGTAAGAAGTCTTGGGTGAGAATTGATGGGTTGAAGTCATAGAGTCATAGAATCATAGAGTTGGAATAGACCACAAGGGCCATCGAGTCCAACCCCCTGCCAAGCAGGAAACACCATCAGAGCACTCCTGACATATGGTTGTCAAGCCTCTGCTTAAAGACCTCCAAAGAAGGAGACTCCACCACACTCCTTTGCAGTCAACCCTTTGCGGTCCTGATATTCTGCATACTCTACTCCCTGGGTCACTCCTGATTCTCAGCATAGGAAGTTGTGTTATACTAAGCCAGACCACTGGTCCATCTAGCTCAGATTTGTCTACCATGATCAGAAGCTGCTCTGCAGGATTTCAGGCAGGGGACACTCCCAGCCAGTCCTGGAGATCCTGGGCCATTTCCCACTGAGCTACATCCACAGAGGAAGCACTTGGATGGATACCCCATTGAGGGACTTCCTTTTTCTGTCATGTCTTGGGGAGGCATCTGAGCATGTGATCTTCTGCTCCATTTAGCACCCAAAGTCAGGGACAGACAACATATGGCCTGCAAATGTTGTGGATTACCACTTGCATTAGCCTCAGTCAGCACCATCCAACCAACCAACCAACCAACCAACCAAAACAAACAAACAGGGGCAGACTATAGTAATATGGCACCCCATGCAAAACCAAAATCTGCCCCCCACCCTGCTGCAAGTGTTGGCCAACCAGCTGCACTCGTGTAGTGGGAGGCTGGTGCGATCTCGCTCTCACTCTCGTTCCCCCTCCCCTCCCCTCCCTTCTCCTCCTCCTTTTTTTCTAGCCTGATTTTCCCTCCCAGACAAACAAACAAACAAACAAACAAACAAACAAACAACAACAACACTCACAGTCATCCGAGAGGTCTCTCTGAATACCCTCCCCACTTTCTCTCATTCCTGCTCCCTTCCTTTACATCTTTCTCAAACAGAAATAAAAATTCAAGGCTTTAGAAATCCTCCCTTTTTTTTCTTCCTTGTTTTCCCCAAAAAGTCAAAGGAAAAGGCCATTGACTTTTTTAAAAAAATCCCTTCGATTTCTGGTCTCCAAACCTACCTTACTGCTTTCGTGCAAAAGGAAGGAGGAAAGTATGAGGGGGGGGGGGGAGAAGCACCCTACTCATAGCCTGGAAGGACAACCATTTTAAGACGTATCTTACTGTGAACTGAAAGGTGGAGGATTGGGGGGAGACTCTCAAATACAACTTGCTGCTTTCCTCTCCTCTGCTCAGTTCAGTGCCCTGTGTGTGGGAGCCTCTATCCCTGCTCTAAATCTGGCTCTGCACTAATCTCAGTCTGCCCTTCGGATATTTCAGAAGGTTTCCCCTCTGCACTTTTAAGCCCATTTTCGTAGTTAGCAATGAGGTCTGGAAGCTTGCTGTTCTGTTTATTTTTATTATATTTCCCCCCACAAAGCTGCACTTCTGGATTTTGTAATGCAAACAGCCCTGGCCTCTTGGTACCTCTGTTCTTTCTTCTTCCATTTTTCTTTTCTTTTTGCAGCTGACTTGCATAACAAGTGTCCACAGGAAGCAGACTGGCAACCTATTGCAGCTGCCTATTTGTGAGCTGTTGCACTCAGTCATTCTCACATTTCACAGTCATCTCTTGTATGCAAGGCCCACAAAATAGCCTCTGGCAGGTGCCCACTTGTGCCAGTAAAACTGACATTAATTAGCTGCTTCTTTGCAGCCTTCGAAGGAGAAGGCTACAACGCCATCAGGTCCCTCGAGGTTGGGCTGGCCCTGTTGTCAGCACAGATGGCCTGCACAAAATGGGAAGATGCCGTTCTAGCTGGCCAGAGTTAACAAGGGTCAAGTGTTTTGCTCTTGTCTGAGCCTCTGAATCTCACGTGTTAGGAATCACAAGTGGGGAGAGAACTGTTGCACTTGGATTCTGTTTGTGGGCTTCCCATTGAGGCATCTTGTTGGCCAGTGAGAGAACAGGATGCTGGTCTAGGTGGCCCTTTGCCCTGATTCAGCAGGGTTCTCCTGATGTTCTTTACAGCCCAGGGCTGCCACTTACCTTAATGGGCCTTACTCCAAGATAAACAGGAATGGTACTGCTACATAGTTTCTTTTCCAGGGTTGTTTGTGGGGATTGCCTGTGTAGTGCTTTGAACACCAGAATGCACTTGGAGTCATGTGGTCAAGTTGTGACTGTAAACGGCGTTTCCGTGTGCTGCTCTGGTTCGCCAGAAGTGGCTTAGTTATTCTGGCCGCATGACCCGGAAGCTGTGCACCAGCTCCCTTGGCCAGTAAAGTGAGATGAATGCTGCAGCCCCAGAGTCATCCACAACTGGACCTAATGGTCAGGGGTCCCTTTACCTTACAGCTTCCATCACCCTTGACCATTGATCAGGTTGGCTGAGGCTGATGGGAGTTGTAGTCCAACAACATCTGGAGGGCCACAGGTTTGTCATCCCTAATTAAAAACCTTTCTTTGTTCTTTATGAACAACAGCGTCTATTTACCATAGCACCTTGGAAGATACATCCTCCTCCTCTCACACAGGATGGGATGCCTCTCCTAAGCGGATGCCCACTGAGAATGGTGCGCTGGACCAAGGATGAGGAACCCGTGCATACCCTCCAACACATCAAGGCAAAAACCCAGGATGCACGTCTTACAGGGGTGTGCTCCCGCGTGAGTCACACAACCTTCGCAACATCATGGCCCCCAAGAATTGTGACGGGGGGGGGGGCTGTTCACTCACATGAGAGCACAGCACCAAAAACACATGTTTTGGGGTGCCGCATGAGACTGCAGCCCCGGAAAAGTGCTTATTTGGGGTGAAATCATGGTACTCAAAATGGGCACTGTGCTCTTGTGTGGAAAAAATGGGATGTCCCAGTTTTACCAGGACAGTTGAAGGGTATGCCTGCAGACATCCCAGAAGTCACCTGACTATATCTCCTACCACCATTACTCATCAGCCATGCTGACCGGGACTGATGGGAGTTGGAGTCTGGTAGCATCTGGGAGGCCACAGGGTTCCCCAGCACTGCCTTAATTAATTGAAATGCCAAGGGGGAGGGGAGAGAAAGAGATGGGGGAGGACCTCCACTCAATAGAGTTTTAAACATTCTAGTATTTAGAGCAGTGTTTCCCAACCTTGTGCCTCCAGCTGTTTTTGAACTACAACTCCCATCATCCCTGACTAGCAAGACCAGTGGCAAGGGATGATGGGAATTGTAGTCCAAAAACAGCTGGAGGCACAAGGTTGGGAAACACTGATTTAGAGCATCCTGAGTTGCTCCTCTGGGTGCAGCTGTTTCTGTCTTGCTCCACTGCATGCAGAGCTGGTAATTAACTCTCCAATGTGGGCTTCCTATCGGGTAGGGAAGAGACATTTTATCACTTGCTAATTCATCATCATTTGCTGATCCCACTGGGCTCAAGCACTATCTCCCTCTGTGATTCCCATTGCTCATATTATGTTTCCCCAGTTCTATCCATCCCCCAGTTGTATACATTCCCATTTGTTGCTTTCTTGTAGCCTCTTGAGGGCTGGCAGTATTTTGTAGTTTGGTTCAGTTTGACAAAGCAACACGATGGAAAATGTATAAGAGCACCCAGTGAGATATGATGCAGCAAGGCATTCCAAGGTGTGAACGCAAGAATATTGATATGCTCCGCCTAAGAGGTCTTCTTCTTCTTCTTCTTCTTCTTCTTCTTCTTCTTCTTCTTCTTCTTCTGCTTCTTCTGCTTCTTCTGCTTCTTCTGCTTCTTCTGCTTCTTCTGCTTCTTCTGCTTCTGCTTCTTCTTCTTGTTCAATTTGTATTCCACTTTCCCACAAAATTTTACCCAAAGTGTCTCACAGCATGAATAAATAAATATACAAAAAATTAGTCCATGCAAGTTTGCATAAAAGAATACAAATAAACCAACCTTATTTATCACCATAAAAGTTACTAGAAGAGAATTTCTCAAAACAGAAATACAGGTAAAAGGTCGTTTACAAAGCATCTACATACTCCAGATGGATCTGTTTCCACTGGTTTGGAACCAAGACTCAACCTTCACACATTCAGGTGCTCTACCCTATCTCTCACCTGGGGTACTGCAGGCAGTCCCACTCTGGCTCTCAAAGTGAACCATTCACAGTGGGATCAGGCATTAAACAGGGATGTATTATCATCCCAACTATTTCTTATTTTCATCGCCATGATCCTACACATTGTCAAAGGGAAACTCTCCACTGGGGTAGAAATCATATATCGAACAGATGGAAAGCTCTTCAATTTGAGTAGGCTGAAAGCAAAGAGTAAGGTTACCATAACCTCCATCATAGAGCTTCAATATGCTGATGACGTAGTGTGTGCACACTCAGAGGACAACCTCCAAACCATCTTAAATATCTTTGCAGAAGCTTACAGAAAGCTTGGCCTATCGCTCAATATCCAAAAAACCAAAGTGCTGCATCAATAAGCACAAAACAACCCGTCCACTGAACCACAAATCCATCTTAATAGTGTAACACTGGGAAGTGTCAATTGCTTTTCCTACCTGGATAGTTATCTTTCCATAAGGGCCAACACTGATGCAGAAATCAACTGAGCTCTGCGAGTGCAGCTTTCTCCCAATTGAAGTGAAGAGTGTTTGAGGACCAAGACATTCACAGGGAAACCAAAAGGCTTGTTTACAAAGATATTGTACTTCCAACTTTACTGTACTCTTGTGAAACATGGACCACTTATAAATGCCATTTCCAACTCCTCAAAAGATTCCATCAGTGGTGTCTCCAAAAATTTTTACATATCACTTGAGAAGACAGGCAAACTAATGTTAGCGTATTGGAAGAAGCAAAGATCACCAGTGTCAAAGCAATGATTCTTCAACATCAACTTTGTTGGGCTGGTCATGTTGTTTGGATGTCTGATTATCATCTTCCAAAGCAACTACTCTATTCCCAACTTAAGAATGGAAAGACAATCTTACTTGGCTACGAGTGATTGCCAGAGAAGAAGACTTTTAACCTTCTGGAAGGACATAGGAACATAGGAAGTTATCTTCTACAGAGTCAGACCATTGGCCCACCTAGCTCAGGATTGTCTACACTGGTAGGGATATCCCCAGTCTTACCTGGAAATGCTGGGGATTGAACCTGGTACCTTCTGCATGCAAAGCAGATACTCTGCCACAGAGCCACAGCACTCATCCCTACTTCAAAAGGCTAAGCAAAGGATGGTGCACCCTGCGTTTGTATTACCTGCCCTGTTCCTTTGACTTTAAGACAATGGGAGTTCTAATCCACATTAGTGGTTGCAAGTTTTTCTGAGAGGCTTTATTGAGATTTCCCTCCCCTCTCACACACCTAGCCCTTCAGAAAGCAGACTGTTTTGCAAGGTATTTGATGGTGGTGAGCACCTACCCAACCTTTGTCACAATGCCCCTGGATGGTGCTAGGCCTGGGCATGATTGTGGAGGATGCAAAATAGTGCCTGGTTGCCAACATAGTTGCTACTGCTTCTGTCATTTATGGCAGCAAAGAGGGGAGGGGGCTGGAGGGAGGGGAGAAAGAAACAGTGTGGCTATTGATGGTGAGCCTCCTGTCTGCCTCCTAAAAAAGTAATCATAATAATGTTGGCAATTTCTCCTCTCCTTGAAGGAATTTAGTGGAATGAAGTGCTTCTTACCCACTCCAATCCTTTGCTCCAAGATTGGATATATAATTTACAGAAGGTCTTTCAAACCTGCCTTTATAGTCTTAAAGAGCTAGAAACTTGAATTGTTACCATTTAAAAAGCTGAGATTTTTCTGGACACCAATAACTGTAGCAGAAAATAAACACCAAATCATTGACTAGATATATACAGATAAACATGTATGTACTCTTATTTATATTATTTATTTGTTTATATTATATATTTATATATTAGCTACATTGCTGCATCACTCTACCTCCCAAGGGAGACTAGGGTGATGCGTGATAAGATATAAAAAGGCAAAATGTAATTTGTAAATAAAGCATCACAGTTAGCAGTGGAACTATGAAATATCATTAGAACCATTAACACATACACCCCCAAAAAGAAACCCTCTTCAGCTGTTTGGTATTAAAACAACTTTACCTCAGTTTGTGAAAGCCTCTCTCTTGTATAGAAAGATTGAATATACAGTCCTTGCCTGAGGCAGACACTGAAGAAGCTTACAAAATTAGCCCATTGGGTTGGTGCTAATATTATTCCTGTTCAGAGAAGACCCGTTGAAATCAATGGACATCACTGGGGTCCATTAATTTCAGTGGGTCTACTTTGAGTAGGACTAACCTTAGTTCCAACCCCTTCTTTTTAGAAATTGCTCATTGGCGATGATCAGATCTTCTCCCCCCCACATCAGCCCATCACTCCTTTGTTTCTTGCAGGTGATTGTGGGGAGCATCTTCGAAGTCATCTGGGCTGCAGTGAAGCCTGGGACCTCCTTTGGCATCAGCGTGTTGAGGGCTCTCAGGCTGCTGAGGATTTTCAAAGTTACCAAGTACGTTTTAAGTTTCTTCTTCCTTTTTCTTTCTTTCTTTTTAGTGTGGGATGTGTGAAGGGGAATTTATGCACTTGGAAAACCCACTTTCAGAAATCCTGATGCATTCGTTAACTGGCTTGGTTTGGTTTGGAATCCCAGGTACTGGAACTCCTTGAGGAACCTGGTGGTCTCCTTGCTGAATTCAATGAAGTCCATCATCAGCTTGCTGTTCCTCCTCTTCCTCTTCATTGTTGTGTTTGCTTTGCTGGGGATGCAGCTTTTTGGAGGACAGTAAGTTCAATTCACTAAATTAATCTCCATAAACTTTTGACGGGCATCTGGCTACAAGGAACGGTACTCTCCCCGCTTGTGATTCCTAGCAACTGGTATTCATAGGCATGCTGCCTACTGGACTTGCGATAGTTTTGGCTCCAGTTTCAGATGTTTGCACTCTGAATGTTTTGCTAATCTCTCACAGCAGGTTGCAGACGGACTTAAGTTTCTCCCGATTCCAAGCTGGACAGAACCAGCTGGTTCACCACTTTTAAATAGCTCTGTGGGGTTGTTTCATGTCCTGCATTTCAGATTTCTGTAGGCATCTGGTTGACCATTATGATGGACTAGATGGGCCTTCAGCCTGAACCAGTAGGGCTCTTATGTTCTTATCTGTGAGTACTCTTTGATTCAAATCTCTCACTGGAAGCTCAAGTGTCTTCATAGGCGCCGACTCCATGGGGCTTGAGGGGGCTCGAGCCCCCTCAAAAAATTTTTTGGGGGGGCTCAGCCCCCCCAATAATCTCGGGCGCCGGGGGTGGGGGCTCCTGCCTCGCTGCTTCGCAGCACCACCGCCACTGCCAAGGCACTGCCGGGGGGAATTTCCTTCCTCCTGGCGGTTTCAGCCCCCGCGAGAACAGGGGAATCCCGACTGGCCACACCTCCCAGCCAGCCAATCGGCTGGCTGGGGGGGCGTGGCTTGCCCTATTTAGGGCCGGAGCCACTTTATTTGCATATTCATGAGCTTATTTATTATTCATGAGCTTTCCCGGGCCCCCCCAATATTTTTTATAAGTCCGCGTCCCTGAGTGTCTTTAATGACAAGGAATATTTATGCCCAGCTCTGGCTGGTTCACTACTTATGGCCACTGCTAGATGAAAGCTACTTGGCCTCAATAATCCATGCTGGAGATCACTAACGTCCAGTTTGGACTGCTTTGATGCACTCTATATTGGGACGCGGGTGGCGCTGTGGGTAAAACCTCAGTGCCTAGGACTTGCCGATCGCATGGTCGGCGGTTCGAATCCCCGCGGCGGGGTGAGCTCCCGTCGTTTGGTCCCAGCTCCTGCCCACCTAGCAGTTCGAAAGCACCATTAAGTGCAAGTAGATAAATAGGTACCGCTTTATAGCGGGAAGGTAAACGGTGTTTCCGTGTGCTGCTCTGGTGCCAGTTCGCCGGAGCAGCTTCATCACGCTGGCCACGTGACCCGGAAGTGTCTTCGGACAGCGCTGGCTCCCGGCCTCTAGAGTGAGATGAGCGCACAACCCTAGAGTCTGTCAAGACTGGCCCGTACGGGCAGGGGTACCTTTTATATTGGGCTACCCTTAATTTTTTAATTTTTTTTATAAAAGAAGGGGATTCCAAGATTTGAAGAAGTAACCTAGAATGGACAGTTATTAACAAGGCAGAACATTACTAGTAGAATGAAAATATATGCATATACACATAAAACGTTACATAGGTAAAGGTAAAGGTACCCCTACAGATTGTTAAAATAAAAACATCAGAGCACCAGCTCTTCCCTTAAAAGTAAGTGGTCCTCCTAGAGAAGAACGTGCCAAAGGGCTGATTGTGGCAAGCTGCTGATTCTCTAGGTTCACTCTAGCGGTACTGAAAAACAGCCATGAAATGAGGAAGAATAAAATTACAAGATAATAAAATAATAATCTTAATAATTATAGAAAGCTTAAAAAAGAATGAATGATTTAAATTATATTCATTAGTGGAACAGAATCCCATAACGGCTCAGGACCGCAATGCTTCAAGGACTGCCTTTCGCCATATGAATCAACCTGGACCCCGCATTCACCCCGTGAGGCCCTTCTTCATGTGTCTCCTTCATGAGAGATTCGGAGGGCGGCAACACAAGAACAGGCCTTTTCTGTGGTGGCCTCCTGTCTGTGGAATGCTCTCCCCAGGGAGGTTCACCTGGCACCTTCATTACATATCTTTAGGCACCTGGCAAAAATGTTTCCCTTCAACCAGGCATTTGGCTGATTAACATTCTGTGGCTTTTAAAATGTGTTTGTGGGAAGGTGGTTATTGATTCGGTTTTGTTTTATTATGTAGTTTTTATTCTCATTTTGCATTTTTCTGTTGTTAACTGCCCTGAGATCTTCGGATGAAGAGCAGTCTACAAATTTAATAAGTAATAATAATAGTAATAGTAATAATAACAACACAAGATTCATACTTGCACCAAACATCCCAAATATTCATGAATGTTGCCAATTAAGCTCATATTTAGTGGGAATGTGCCAACCATGAAGATTGTTTAGTCATATAAATCACAATCAGCTCCCAAGCAGAAGCAAAGTTGCATGAGTCCACATCACCCCAGTGACATGTATTTTATGACAGTTTTTCAGAAATGGCAAGAAACACAACTTCTTTAAGCCATATATCCATAGAGTAACAAGCTGCACCCTTCCATCCACCATAGGTCATTAAATGAGTGGCTACCCTTAAAGACTGCCTGGAAACTGCAGTTGGTGCAAAATGTGGCTTACCAAACTGTTGAGCAGAGCAATAAGGTGGGACCATGTACCACCACTCCTGAAAATAAGGCACTAGATTTTTTTGCCCAGTGGACCAGATTCTTATCTTCCCCTCCTCTCTACAGGCCACCTTTGACAGTTAGGAGGACCACCCACCTGCCAAACATCTGGTGTCATAATGGTGTCAAGTGGTGTTCTTGGAGGGAGCAGGATCCCCCACCCCACCCCCAAAAACAGACTATTGAAGACTGAGCATGCTCAGACAGAAGACTGGTGGAAGGGAGAATGTTATGGAGCACCCTGGAGAAAGGGCATGGCTGTCTGGCTTGAACCCTGAACAGGCACACTCCCTGCTGCAACATTTTATTGCAAGTCCCAGTTGTACCTCTGAATACCAGTCACTTGGGGGGAGGCACAAATCATGGGGTTGTCGTTTGCCTTCATGCCCTCCTTGAAGGCTTCCCAAAGGCATATAGGTGCCCACTGTAAGAGCCCGGATGCTGGAGTAAAGGGACCTTTGGTCTGATCCAGCAAGGCAGCTCTTAAAAGATTATTAGCATTCTACCCTGCCATTAATATTCATTTTCTGCCTCTTTCTAGGTTTCATTTTAGTGACGAAACACCAACCACAAACTTTGATACTTTCCCCACTGCTATTCTAACTGTGTTTCAGGTAAGGGCACTCTTGACTTGGTGCAAAAGAGCTGAAGGGTCCTCAGAGATCATATAGTCCTCCCCACTGCTGATGCAGGAAATCTGCTGCTTCTGCATGTCTGACAGGGGGCCATCCAGCCTCTGCTTGAAAGCTGCTAATCAAGGATAAGCCCACTGCTTTCTGAGGCAGTCTGTCCCACTGTCAAACAGCTTGTGGCATCAGGAAGTTTTTCCTAATACTTAGTCATATTCCCTTGTAATCTGAACACAGTGACTCAAGCAACTGAAAACACATGTCTGCCATTGTCTATGGAACAACCCCTTCAATATATTTGAAGATGGCTATGAGACTGTCTCTTAATCACACTTCTCCTCCTCTAGGCTAAAAATATCCAACTTATTTAACCTCAGCTCATCGTTCAACCTTAGCTCCAGGCCTCTCAGCCTTGTCAAATAGGCCAATAATATTGCGTCCATATTGCAATTAGTTTGGGACAGAGACTGAAGCCAAGAGATAAGCAAAAGGTGAGGAACTGGATCTGGCCAGGCGGCCAGATGGTTAAGTCCCCCACCTCTCATTGGCCAAGTCTGAGAGGTGGGAAGAGCCAGGCAACTGTCAGTCATCTGATGTCACAGACTGGTTTGTCAATGCCAGCCCCTGTTGCTAGGAAATCTATCTGCTGCATGGAAGGTGCAGGGCAGGGAGCCAGCAGGAGTGCCTCTCCTCCCCTGTACTCTACAGGCTGTCCACCCCCCAAGGGCATCCTTCTCACCTTCCTCCTCACCTTATTTGGCAGCAAGTGCCAATCCAGTCATGATCCAGTTGAGCTCATGGGCATCATGACAAATGCTATCTTGCACAGCACTTTGAAAGGGGCCTTTCGTGACTTACCTAGCCTCACAAAGCCTCTTTCGAAGTGTGATCTTGTGGCCAGCTTTGCATAGGACTTTGCAGCATATTAGCAGGGCCTAAAGCCCCTCTTATCAGCTGAGCCAGGTTTATGCCTGCCCCACACCTCGTACCATATATGACATCTGTTACAATAGGGCAGGTGTATGTGCTTAGGCTGAAATGGCCTCAAGGGCTGAACAAGGTATCTGGCAGGCTTAGCTGGGACTGGAAGTAACTCACCCCTGAGACAGGCTTCTGGCAGAGGAGAGATTTGAATTGGGGTTTTAATCTCCTATTCCTATTGACTTGGGGTTTCTTACAGGAGTACTGGGTAGTCAAGCAGTGGAACTGGATATATAAATGAATGTGCAATGATGGTGTCCTTGCCATTATCCTTACTTAGTTGGGTGGAGAATTCAAAACACAGAACTCTCAGAAAACAAATGTCCAATAGGTGTGGATGAATTTGTTCAATTTCAGTTTCTTGTTTTTCCATTCTTAAGCTCAGTTTGCCATATTTCCACACCAGTTTACTTTTTTTAAAAAAAAATCCTCCAGAAAAGTCATTGCCATTTCAGTATGCATTTCCCCCCAAAACTACCTTTTTGCAAGTAATTTCCCCTAATATAACACGTTTTGGGTGTGTCATTTTCCTCAAATATATGGGACCTGAATTTTCTTTCCCCATCCCTAACCTCCAGCTGATATCAACTGTAACCAGGCAAGAGTGTGGTGATTTCTGTCAGCACACAGAACCATGGCCCTTGGCTTTTCTGTCATGCCACCAGAATCCATCTCTGTGGCCCTTGTCTGCCGTGGCGCAGTCTTGGTTAGCAGATGATGTGACCTGCTTTTCTGTCTTCACAATCAGCTCCCTAAATTAACAAGGACAATAGCCTGAGAGACGGATCTGAGTTCATAGGAAATAATGAAAAGAGTGGAATGTGGGACCCATTGCATTTGACATTCTGGTTTCTGTAGAGCATTATAATTGGGGACAGGAATGCTAATCAGGCAGGAAGCAAATGAAAAAGGCAAACCCTTACTCAGCGAGGTAAGAGGAAATGAGAGACATTCTATGCTCTGGAAGCTCAAGGGTTGGTCAGCCTTTGCACATGGGAGGAGGGCTTCCTGTCCAAGTCATACAGAAATCGAGGCCACCAAGGGAGAGTTGCTTCCTCTCCAATCCCAGACTTACCCTCTCTGGCCTCTGAATACCAGTTGCTGGGAATTTTGAGTGGGGAGACTTGCTGTTGCACACGGGTCCTGCTTGCAGGCTTCCCTTAATGAACATCTAGCTGGCCACAGTGAGAACAGGATTCTGGACTAGGTGGGCCACCAACTGTACTTCTGATGCTGATGGAATGGAAATAAGATACAATAGTCCAAATAAATCCATATTAGCCCCTTTTCACCTACTCACAACACCTCTTACATGTGTGCATAACCTTACAAAGCACTGTGTCGTCGTCATCATTGCTTATCTGTGTGCTGCCTTTCCAGACTAAACCAGGCTCAAGTCTTCTGACAACATCAAAATGCTTTACATAATTCATTTGCTGTTGCAAGACCTCAGCTAATGAAAAACACATTCTATTAACAAATGTGCAATAAAATGAAACAGTCCAGTGATTGTTCAAAATAAGGCCTGACAATTAAACCCCCCGCCACAACAATTTAATCCAGATTAAGACTATGGACTGATTCTTGCTATGCGCTGATCTACATATTTAGGGAAACAAGATGGTTGACTCCTTGGACTTTACTGCTTCCAGCTGCAGGTGGAAGAAATTGTATGCTGGTGGTGGTGGGAACAGGGTGAGGTCTTTCCTTTCTCTACAGGCAACATGGAAACACACAGTTCTATAGACACAACACAACAGTAGCAGCAGCAACAACAATAGAAGAATAAAAAGCAGGATAATGTTTTTATTGAGCCCATCTCTTCAAAGTCTTTACAGGTTAAAAATATATTCACCAGCTCCCAAAAGATGACATCAGAACTAGCTGGGAGAGCCTTCTCCTCCTCCTTCTTCCTTAAATAATTTTTATTGGTTTTTTCACAATTAATTTCCACAATTAACTACAAAAAACAAATCCCCCCCATCCCTACTCACAAAAACATTTCAAAACCTTATCTTTGAGGTTCTTTAGACTTCATGACTTCCCTTCATTCCCTCTTCTGGTTCCTTATATTAACAAAATTCTTCTGCATTTCCTTACACATACTTCATTGCAGATTGCAAGTGTGAAGTCTGACCCTGCCAATATATCAATTTATTTACATTATTTTGCATATATACAATGAGTGTTTCCTGTTCTTTTTCCTAACTTTGGCATATTGGAATTTCACTGGAAGGCAACTATCAGTTAAGTCAGATTTAAAATCCTGCTCCCCTTCCTCACAGTCTCCTCTTGGTCTCAGAGGCTGTAATTTCTGCCTCATTTCTGCCACCAAGGCATTATCAAATATTTCCTGTCTACCCCCCATGCCATCCATATCTGCCCCGAGTGTCTCCTGGTATTTCTTCATATCAATCACAGTTTCCATTTTCCTAAAAATTTCCTCCAGCCCTTGCATCAAGACCTCCACTACTTCTGTTTTCTTAATAACAGAATCCATCTCTGTGGCCCTTGTCTGCCGTGCCACAGTCTTGGTTAGCAGATGATGTGACCTGCTTTTCTGTCTTCACAATCAGCTCCCTAAATTAACAAGGACAATAGCCTGAGAGATCTTAATAATTAGTTCTGTCACCATTTCAGTATTTTTGTCCATTTGGGCTATAAGTTTATCTGCTGTCTTATCCAAATTTTCCTTTATCTCCTTAATCAACTCATTTCTCAGTTCATAGAAGAATTCCACCCATTCACCATAAGGCTTATCCCCCGTGTCCTGTACAGAAGTCCTTCTACCTGAACTTGGGGTTGGTTGCTTTTTACTTGCCATGTTCAATAAGTTATTATTAAAACAATCAAAAATGGTCCGAACAGAGTGAAAATATCCAATACTCCTTCTACTCGATTCACTCTGTCCTTGCCAAGTTTCTCTTTCCCTTGTTCTCAAGACAACCAATTTTCCAGCCGTACCTTGTCAGTTTTGTCAAGGCCACCAAGTAACACTTTCCCAAGGAACACGGTCTTTCGTACTTTCCCACTCCATCCAGCCCGATTGCATGTTACATGTATACAATTTGAAATAAAATCCAGCTTTCAAATTAACATTCAGATTAAACAGATATATACTTTAAAAAGAAAACAAAAGCAATTTGTCCACACAAAATCACAACTTAATAATCCAGAGGAGAGTAAAAGACTCTCACTGATCCAGTTCTCTAAAAATGTCTTGAAGTAAGATAAAGAGTTACAGACAGTTGAAGATCATTATAATTCCTCTTCTCTGGTAGAGTCCAAACGCCTTTCCTTCCCATAACCAGAAAGAGATTTAACAGGCTTCCAGCTCTAGAAAGGTGGCGTAGGGGTTCTCAGATGTTGTCCAATATCCAACACTGTTGATATTCAGCCTCTATAGCCAGTTCCAAACTTTAAAGTTCCAATTTATCTTTACACACACACACACACACACACACACACACACACTAGGAGCAAGCTCAGTCTTTTTTAAACCACTCCAACCAAAATGTGCCATATATGCTTCCATACCCTCACAGAGTACTTCATTAGTCTTGTTTCAAGCTTTCTCTGCTGGGCTCAGATTCACCTATGGCTTTAGTCGTGCAAGCTCCTCTCCACAATTCTCCATTATAAATCCAATAAAAGGTAGTAAAGAATGGGTTTCAGTTGCTTTTAATCCACCTTTCCCATCAGCAGACATATATCTAATAGAGTCACGTAAAATTAATACAATTCTCACTTGCAAGTTGTTTCCATGCAGCGATAATTACTCAGAAGATGGGGATGGACTTCCTTTTTACTCCTCCGTCTAGCACCAAATTCAGCCTAATTAGATCCAATAATTAATCTTCTTTACATTTCCATCAGCCAAAATGTAGTTCTTGGAAGATCTCTGCTGCAGGTAGGAGTTTGAGGCTCCACTCCCGTGGAGTTGAGATATTGCCATGTCCGCAGGCTCAATCACAGGCTTTTTAGGGGGTGCACCTCACCTTGGAGCTTCCCCCTGTGTCTCTGCGGGGCTTGAGTCTGTCAGTCGATCAGACTGGCACTCATTTTCGCCATTCGCAAAAACCTGAAGTCCGCTGGGAGAGCCTTCTTAATGAAGGCACCACCACAGGGGTGGGAAATGACCTTAGTCATTTACTCTAGATCATTTTCATCCCAAGGACAGCATTCGCTTATGGGCAGCCTTTTGGGAAACATGCTAGGGGTGGGCAGGGTCAGAGGCAGTGGATGGAGTAATGGAAATGGCCGAAGGCCACATTGCAGCAATGCGAAAGTCAGAAATAGATGGACACACAGACCTATGTGCACACACCTCCCCATCCAGGCAAACTAGAGGCATTGGTCACATCCACACCATTCATTTAAAACATATTTATACCACTTTGGCAGTTACAACTTCCAGCAAAGAATCTTGGAAATGGTAGCTTTCCCCTCACAGAGCAACAGTTCCCAGCACCCTTAGCATACTGCAGCTGCCAGGGTTCTCTGCAGGAAGCCATGTGCTTTAAACGTCTGGTGTGGATGTGGCTATAGTTACAACTGTGCACTTAAGGAGAGAGTGGAGTAAGACCAGTGAAAGGTATGGCCTGGGGAGAGGCCCAAAGACCTGACAGAGGGAGCCAGAGGGCTGAGGTTCCCCAGAACTGCTCTAAACAAGCCAAGCTATCTGGAAAAAAGGTTTATATTATCTTTCCCACCCTCCCCTCACACTTTCTTATTTTTTACTCTAATTAACTTTTCAGATTCTGACTGGAGAAGACTGGAATGCGGTGATGTACCAGGGGATAGAATCTCAAGGGGGCGTCCACTCAGGAATGTTCTCATCCATCTACTTCATTGTCTTGACACTGTTCGGTAACTGTATCCTTGCCCTGCCAAAATCTGATTTGCTAATGGCATTTTATGCTGCTCCATTGCTAGAAAATGCATATTCAACCTTAGCAGCCACGTGCTAATGGGCAGCTGGTGGAAACCCATTAGCAGAAATATTGATTTATTATGAAATGTAGTAGTATTTGTGAAGTGTGTTTCTTTGGGGGGGGGGAGCATCCAGCTGGTGAAATCCTAAACTTTGGTAGTCCCATTTATGCAGTGCAGGTTTCCTGTGAGCCAGTGTGGTGTAGTGGTTAAGAGCGTTACACTTGTAATCTGGTGAACCGGGTTCGATTCCCTGCTCCTCCACATGCAGCTGCTGGGTGACCTTGGGCTAGTCACACTTCTCTGAAGTCTCTCAGCCCCACTCACCTCACAGTGTGTTTGTTGTGGGGAAGGAAGGGAAAGGAGAGTGTTAGCCGCTGTGAGACTCCTTTGGGTAGTGATAAAGTGGGATATTAAATCCAAACTCCTCCTGTTGTTGTTATTCTTCCTCCCACCTGAAAAAAAGGAATGCACATACATTATTTTTTTCAACCTGCATACACACATAACACTAAGTCATGTGTTGTTGGTTTTTAAATGCTGGTTTGTTCATCTCACAGATGAGCAAATAAGCCTAGATATATTTTTCCAGATTGGTACCTCTATGGCATGGGTAGGCAACCAATCGCCTTCTCAATCTGGCCTGCAGACGGTCTGGGAATTCATCCCCCCCCCAAATAGTCCAGCCCCCCACAAGGTCTGAGGGACAGTAGAGCAGCCCCCTGCTGAAAAAGTTTGCTGATCCCTGTTCTATGGTTTGGGGGGCATCTTGGGTGAGGAAGCAGCCAAAAGACTATAGTTGAGCAAGGCTGTTTGGTTCAGACATAATGCCAAACCATAGCAATAGTTTGTAAAGCAACAGCAAGCGAACCTTGGTTAGTCTGCTGGGCTGGGATGGGGTACTCCAACAAACCACACTTGGACTAAACAAACCATGACTTAGCAGAGAGGGGAGAAATCTTTTTTTAGCCACACTCTCTTCTGGGAAACCTTTGGCATATGTCAGTAGTGGGCATCCATCAGATAAGCAAAAGGCATTATCAGAGCTCAAGGGCACATTCCCACCTGGGTGGGGGGTAATCTCAGGGAGGGTTCAAAGCAGGGCCAATGATGGATGTGGTGTATGGCTTGTGGAGATTCCCAAGGGCTAGACAGAGAGGTATTTTGTTGTTGTTGTTTAGTCGTTTAGTTGTGTCCGACTCTTCGTGACCCCATGGACCAGAGCACGCCAGGCACCTCTGTCCTCCACTACCTCCCGCAGTTTGGTCAAACTCATGCTGGTAACCTCGAGAACACTATCCAACCATCTCGTCCTCTGTCGCCCCCTTCTCCTTGTGCCCTCCATCTTTCCCAGCATCAGTGTCTTCTCCAGGGAGTCTTCTCTTCTCATGAGGTGGCCAAAGTACTGGAGCCTCAGCTTCATGATCTGTCCTTCCAGTGAGCACTCAGGGCTGATTTCCTTAAGAATGGATGCGTTTGATCTTCTTGCAGTCCATGGGACTCTCAAGAGTCTCCTCCAGCACCATAATTCAAAAGCATCAATTCTTCGGCGATCAGCCTTCTTTATGGTCCAGCTCTCACTTCCATACATCACTACTGGGAAAACCATGGCTTTAACTATACGGACCTTTGTTGGCAAGGTGACGTCTCTACTTCTCAAGATGCTATCTAGGCCTGTCATTGCCCTTCTCCCAAGAAGCAGGCGTCTTTTAATTTCGTGGCTGCTGTCACCATCTGCAGTGATCATGGAGCCCAAGAAAGTAAAATCTCTCACTGCCTCCATTTCTTCCCCTTCTATTTGCCAGGAGGTGATGGGACCAGTGGCCATGATCTTCGTTTTTTTGATGTTGAGCTTCAGACCATATTTTGCGCTCTCCTCTTTCACCCTCATTAAAAGGTTCTTTAATTCCTCCTCACTTTCTGCCATCAAGGTTGTGTCATCTGCATATCTGAGGTTGTTGATTTTCTAGACAGAGAGGTATGGAGGGCCTCATTTGCTCCCTGGGCCTGGGCCTGAGTTTCCTCACCTGGCTTAGTGTTATGTGTGAGCAAGACCATACGGAAACCACCCCTTCCTTTAAAATGGCAAGAACATTCTGTTGCAATCTTTCACTGTCCGGAGTGACTGTGTGTGACTCCAAGTGCTGTGCTAAGTGCATACTGAATGTTGTGCTTTGTACAACATAGAGGCACCTACAAAGGCATTGCCTTTGGCAACCCTGCCCTTATATACCTGGTAAAAGCAAGATAGGTGAATTCCATAGTTGAGTGGCAGCAGCAGTCATTAGAGGCCCCCCAACATTCATCCAGGCTTGTCATTTATTTTCTTGAGCAGATGAATTCTAACAGTCAGAACTGGAAAATCTATATAGATGATGGTGCTCAGATCACAAGTGGCTCTGCACAAAGATCTACTCTTCGCATTTAGCTTTTAAATCAGCTTCTCCCCAACCTTTGTTTTCCAAATGCTGTCAGACTCCAACCCCCAACCAATTCCCAGCCAACAGAGGGTGGGAATTGTAGGCCAACCAGGGACAAAGGCTCTCTATATACAGACTCCCCATAATGGACCATTTGTTGCCCTAAATGTGCTTGTTGCCCCCCTTTTCTTTTCTTTTAAAAAAGAAAAATCAAACTCTGACCAACTCTCTCTCTGCAGCCTTTTTGTAGAAGTCGCCTTTGTGCTGAATTGCTTTTTGCCCTAAATTCCAGCGACCTGCCTCAATTTGAATACAGTTGCTAATGCTCAAGACACACTGCTGTCTTTCTCATCGCTTCCCAGCCTTATTAGCTGCCAAATGAAAAGTTAATAGAAGCATCTAAAAAGATATGTAAAAGTTAGCTGGCTGAGAGAGGTGGGGGGGGGCGGACTTCAGCCTATCTGTTCAAAACAGACTTGACTTGAAATAATTAGGCCGCATCAAGCAAGGGGAAACATCCGTGCAGTACAGTCAAAGCAGGTAGCTGGAGGTGAAAATATGCAAGAGCGCAATGGCGGCAATTTTCTGACTTGATAAATTTCATGCACAGCTCAAATACTGACTACAAAGCATTTAGAGGACTATTCACAGTGCAGAATTTAGGAATAGTCGAGGGATTTGATCATGATCTGTTTAGGGAAAAGGAACCTCAGGCCCAGATGCTAAATCAGCCCTATATGCCTCTCTATCTGACACCTAGATTCCCCAGCCCTGAATTATATGATGTTTTGGTTACATTTCTGGCTATCATAAAGGTAAAGGTAAAGGTACCCCTGCCCGTACGGGCCAGTCTTGACAGACTCTAGGGTTGTGCGCCCATCTCACTCAAGAGGCCGGGGGCCAGCGCTGTCCGAAGACACTTCCGGGTCACGTGGCCAGCGTGACAAGCTGCATCTGGCGAGCCAGTGCAGCACACGGAACGCCATTTACCTTCCCGCTAGTAAGCGGTCCCTATTTATCTACTTGCACCCGGGGGTGCTTTCGAACTTCTAGGTTGGCAGGCGCTGGGACCGAGCAACGGGAGCGCACCCCGCCGCGGGGATTCGAATCGCCGACCTTTCAATTGGCAAGCCCTAGGCGCTGAGGCTTTTACCCACAGCGCCACCCGCGTCCCCTCTGGCTATCATACTAGCCAATAAAAACCCGGCACTAGTTTTATGCCACTTGTCTACTGATAACATTAGATGGTATCCAGTGCCAAAGTAGGCCCACTGAAATTAATAAACATACGTAACTTAGGTTCATTAATGTCAGTGTGTCCACTCTGAGTTAAATGTTTCTTGAATACAACCAATTATACTTAAAAGCAAAGGAAGAGCATGCAATGTATCATCTTCATATTTACAATTGATAGTCTTCCTACCCAGGGGACCTTTACTTATAACAATCTATCAAGGGCCATTTAAATATACTTTTATCATTTATTATGATTATAATTAACCAGGTTTTGCACTGATCAGTTATCCAAGCTCTGAAACAACAGGTTGAAGTCCCACCATGTAATTGGACATGCTTTAAATAATGTTTTCCAATATTCTTTATGTTATATAACGCAACTGTTCTGATTTATTCAGGTTGATCATATAACCAGATCTGGCTTCAAAATCATTTAATAATTGTCACTTTTTAAAATGTTTTTCAGTGATCACACATTATCAGAATTATGTCACGCACATAGGTCACCTCATGATGGCCTGTTTATTGATCATTCATCCTGATTTGCTTGCAGGGAAGTTAGACAACTCAGACTGTTAATTGGGTATTCATCCTGATTTGATTGTGGAGAAGTTATACAATGCCAGACTGTTTATTGATCATTCATCCTGATTTGTGGGGAGATCAGGGTTTTCTTTAAAAAGATCCTTAGCAGCTTAACCAGACACGCTCCTGAACGTCTTCTTGGCCATTGCTGTGGACAACCTTGCCAATGCACAGGAATTGACCAAGGTGAGTGTAAGAATGCACCAAGGCTCTCAGCAGCTGTTGGAACCACTGATCCTTTGGTGGAAGAAGCTGGTAGTTTGTCTTTTTTTCTTTTAAATTGCTGCCTATTACCCCAAATACAATTGAGCTTTGGGCTCCACAGAGCTTCTTTCATCTTCTTGTACAGATGGGGAAGTTGTGGTCTGGTCTTCCAAGCATTGCCGAATTCCCATCATCCCTGACCATTGGCCATGCTGGTCACAAGTCCCACATCCTTGCTGTATACCCTCTACTGGTTTAAATATAAGAACAGGCTGCTAAATCAGACCAAAGGCCCATCTAGTCCAGCATTTCTTCCCCTCACAGTGGCCAATCAGATTCCTATGGGAATCCTGAAAGGAGGATCTGCTGAGGGCAACAGTGCTTGAGATTCCCACAAATGTGTTTTCAGAGGCATACTACCTCCAACCGCGGAAGGAAAACATACACATTATTGCTAGTAGTCATTGATATAGCTTTATCCTCCATGAATTCACCCAATCTTCTAAAGCCATCTAAAGCACCTCATGGGAGAAAATTCCATCATTAGTCTACATCCTGTGTGAAGAAGTATGTCCTTTCGCTTTCGTTAACATAAGAAGAGGCTGCTGGATCAAGTCCAATGGCCCATCTAGCACAGCATTCTTCTCTTACGGCGGCAAACATAGGTGCCAACTCCCTGGGACCCTGGACCCTGGGTGCCCGAGCACCCACAAAATTCCCCATGAAGGGGCTGGGCACCCACAAATTTTGGTGCCAAGGCCATGCATGCCACATGTCACCCATGGCCCTGGCACCCACAGTTGTGGGGCCAAGCTGGCAATACTGGCAGCTAACCAGATGCATGTGGAAAACTCACAAGCATGATTTAAGCACAAGAGCACTTTCCCCACCTCTGTGGAATCCAACAACTGGAATTCAGAAGCATTGCTGTCTCCAACAGTGGAGGCAGTGCATTGCCATCACAGCATTCCCATGACAGTTTATTCCATTTTACTTACCGGTAGGTGATTCTCTCCATGTTATATTTGAGCTTCATGGACTCTTCCAGAAATCTAGAGGAATCTAGTGCATGTTTAGGGCTCATTTCCAGTTAACCCAGAAAATTGCAGGAGCAAAGTGACAAAATTTGGAGTGGCATACTGGTGTATCATTCTTTATTGCTGTTTTTAATGGGTAAGTCATGTGAGAACAGAAGCACACGTGTGGACGGGCTGGAAGAATAGTGGTGCTGTACAGTGGAATTATTTGTTGTGTCACACCATGCCCATTCATATGTGGGGCTGGGCGATGTCAGGTTTTCAACATCGCAATGTATCACCAGCTGAGCGAGTCCCATGCCCCATGTGTGAGGCATTGAGGCTTGCTCAGCTGGGGTGGGGTGGGGGGTGGGAACAGTTTAAAGAAGCCGAGGGAGGAACAAGCTGTATTGGCCTGGTGCTACATCTTGCTTTTCCTTCTGCGGTATGAGGGGCAGAGCGATGGTCGCTTCACCTGGCAATATATTACAGGTGAAACTATCACTGCTCCTGAGTCCCTCTGCTACCAGCAGCCCGATGTTGAAAGTGGCGCTGGTAGCAGAAGGACTCAGGAGCAGCATCAGTTTCACCCACAATATACTGCCAGGTGAAGCCACCTCATACTGGTCCTGGACGATGTATCAATACATCGCCCAGACCTACTCATATGAATGAAATTTAGTGCAGCTTGCTGGTACAGTGGTGAAAAAGCCGCAGTTCCATAACTCAAAAGTAACGCAGTGTGAAAGGAACATTAGAAAATGGGACAGATGTGCTAGCATTGCAATCAGAAAAATTAGCACAATGTTTTCCACATCTGTATGCACCCTTTGTCTATCCTGAATCTTTCAACATTCAGCTTCACTGGATGTCCAAGAGTTCTAGTGTTGCAAGAAAGGGAGAAAAACTTTTCTCTATCTGCTTTCTCCATACATGCATTGCTGTTTACGCCTCTATAATGCAGGCTTCCTCCACCTCGGCCCTTCAGATGTTTTGAGACTACAATTCCCATCATCCTGACCCACTGGTCCTGCTGGCTAGGGATCATGGGAATTGTAGGCCAAAAACGTCTGGAGGGCCGAGGTTGAGGAAGCCTGCTATAATGCCTTGCTCACCTTTCCTCTAAACTAAGAAGCCTCAAAGGTTTCCAGCCCACTGGAAGTTTGGGTTGCAGCTTTCTGAATTTCTTCTTTCTGAATTTGCAGAGCTGCTGACAATATACTTGCCAGCCAAGTACTTGGGGAAAGGGGGTGAGAGTATTGGGCAATGGGTGCAGTGAGTTGGGGGGGGGGGACAGAGGCATACATGCCAAAGAGGGGTCCATGGTGCTGATCTGCACAGGCATGGGGCAGCTTGAAAGTGGCACAGTCTCTCTCAAGTCAAATCCACTCTTCATAGATTTCAGCATACCCCAGAGGCTTCCACAAAGAGGATGCTCTTACTCTGCATATGAAAGGAGAGCCAGGGCCGGGGTATGAGGGGACAACACCTGTGTGCACATTGCTTGCAATCTGAAAAGCATTAATCTCTCCCTACTGTAGGGGAAGGGCTTTAGTTGAGGGTTAGAGCATGTGCTTTGCATGCAGAAGGCCCAATTATCAAACCCCAGAAGTGGCATTGCATGGGTTGCCAGCACCTGGGGCCATGCGGAGGGGGTGGGCGGGCAAGAGGAAAATGGATGGAGTATGCATGAGCATTCAAATTAGGGTTGCCATATTTAAAAAGTGAAAGTCTGGACGCAAAGGTTGTTGAGCTTCTTTTCTCATTTTAAAAAAGTTTTCAGCTTTTTAAAGGTAAAATCTAGACTTCCAACATAGCGTGCCATACATCTGGATTCCCCCGACATTTCAGCAATTTCCGCCCAGACACTGCTTCCAACTGATGTATTCCGGCTATTTCCAGGATATTCTGGTCATATGGCAACCCTAATTCAACTGCCTAACAGCATCTGTCATAGAATCATAGAATCTTAGAATTGGAAGGGACCCAAAGGTCATCTAGTCCAACCCCCTGCAGTGCAAGAATCTCAGCTAAAGCATCCTGGGCAGGTGGCCATCCAACCCCTGCTTAGAAACCTCCAAAGAAGGAGAGTCCACCACCTTTCATGGGAGTCTGTTCCACTGTTGAACAGCTCTTACTGTCAGAAAGTTTTCCTGTATGTTTAGTCAGAATCTCCTTTCTTGTAACTTGAAGCCATTGGTTCAAGTCCTGCCCCCCAGAGCAGGAGAAAACTTGTTCCCTCTTCCATGTGACAGCCCTTATTATCTGAAGATGGCTATCATATCTCCTCCCAGTCTCCTCTTTTCCAGGCTAAACATACTCAGCTCCTTCAAGCGCTCCTCATAAAGCTTAGTTTCCAGACCCTTGATCATCTTGGTTTCCCTCCTCTGCACACGTTCCACCTTGTCAACATCCTTCTTAAACTGTGGTGCCCAGACCTGGACACAGTATTCCACACAGTGTCATCTGACCAAGGTAGAGCAAAGTGGTACTATTACTTCTCTTGATCTGGACACTATACTTCTGTTGATGCAGCCTAGAATAGTGTTAGCTTTTTTCTTCTTCTGCTGCATCACATTGTTGACTCATGTTAAGCTTGTGGTCCACCAAGACACCTAAATCATATTCTCATGTACTGCTAGCACACACACACACACACACACACACACACACTTTATTTCAGTCCGAAGACCCACAAAAAGCATTTTCAAATCAAAATAAAACAGAAATACAGGGAAAGGGTTCCAAGGCAGTCACTATGTTTTATCCAGAGCATGTAGGTTTCTGCCTTTGGGTTTCTGCTTCATAGAGGAACTTAGCCACAGCCAGGGTAGTATCATTTGACATATTTCCAAGGAGGTACTTAAGGTGGAAGGTTTCAGATTTTCCAGTTAAATTTAGAGGTTTAATCATTTGTTCCCTGGCTTGTTTGAACTGCTCACAGTGTAACAGGATATGCTTCATATAGTTGACACCTTGAGAGCATAAGAAGAGCCTATTCTGATAGGGTATACCAGACAGGCTGTCATTTAGTACTTCTGATGGAAATACATTTAGTCTAGCTTTGGTGAATAATCAGCAATAGTTAGGTACAGACAGATTCATGAACTATGATGGTAACTGAAAATCATGACAATAGTGGATTCCAGATGCAAAACATCCACAGGTTACATAGGATCTAGAGTGAAGATCGCTGTGTGAAATGTCCTATAACCTCTGCCTCAGGGATTTAAGGGCAATATTATAGCCCAGATGGTGTAAAAAGGATGGTGAAAGACCAGTCAATGAAGCTTTTTGGGCCATAGTTTTCGGCCATGAGCTGATAGACTCCTCATCGGATAGATGTAAAAGTAATCCCTTCCCCAGGGGAATACTGAGATCTTTAGCCAGTATTTCAAGGCAACCCACCACACTTTGGTGGAGAGGGGGGCATTCACCTGTTTCCAACAACAAAATTGATTTAGGGACACTCTGGGACCTGAAGTAGGGACTGAAGGAACTTAGCTTGGAACCCATCTAACGTAGAAAATAGACCATTGTACCAGACTTTTGAAGCATAAAGGAATTGGGAAACAGATTTCACATTAAAGACCCTTATGGCTGATGGAAGATAGTGACCTCCCTTTGTGAAAATGAAATGGGGTATATCAAGTTTGCTCATCTCCGCCTTCTGACAGATAGTCTGCCAGTGGCAATTCCAGGACTTTGTGTGGCGAAACAACAGCCCTAGGTACTGGAAGCCTTTAGTCTGCTCTAGAAGATGGCCATCTAATACCCATTTACAATGGGAATATTTTTTCTCAAAGACCAAAATTTTGGATTTCTCATAGCTTATGGGTAACCCATTTACAGAACAGTAATCTGAGAACTTCCTTGGTTGGTATTTCAAACCAGGTCTGGAACGAGAGACTATGGCCGCATTGTCTGCATATAGCAAAAGAGGGGTCTTTCCAGTGATGACCATCT